CCCGCAGAACCTCTCGGTGTGTCCCGAGGAGGAGTCCGTGATCCTCTCGTCCTTCGTCAGCTCCCTCTCGGCTCTGGCGGCCAAGGAAGGTGCGGGTTTGTCACATCCCGGCCCGGATTGTCACCTCCCAGTGTGGCCGGTGCCACCCCAGCTCGGTGTCTTCCTTGTCCCGGGAGCTCTGGGACAATCCTGGGCACCGGTCCCCTGTGGTGGCGCTGCCACCCCCAGCCCTGTCCCCGTGTCCCCTCTGTGCCCGCAGTGGATGAGCAGGAGCAGTTTGACTTCACCGCGCTGCGCCTGGACTGGTTCCGGCTCCAGGTGATGGCACTGTCCCTGTCCCCATGTCCCCACGTCCCCATGTCCTCATGTCCCTGTCCCTGTCCTTGTCCCCCTGTCCCCATGTCCCTGTCCCCATCCCTGTGCCAATCCCATTCGTCCTTGTCCCTGCTGTCTCCATCCTCGTCCCCCTGTCCCCAGTCCATGTCCCCACCACTGTCCCCATGTCCCCTGACCCTGTCCCCATCTTTGTCCCCCTGACCCTGCCCCTTTTGTCCCCATGGCTGTCCTCCTGACTGTCCCCATGTCCCCATGTCCCTGCTGTCCCCATGGCTGTCCCCTGTCCCTGCTCTCTCCATGGCTGTCCCCATGTCCCCATGGCTGTCCCCATGTCCCTGTCCCTGTCCCATGGCTTTCCCCTGTCTGTCCCAGGCCTACACCAGTGTGGCCAAGGCCGCGCTGCCGCTGAGCTCCAACAGTGACGTTGGCCGTGCCATGAGCCTGGTGGTGTTCCACACGCGCCTGCTGGACCGGCCCGAGGAGCTGCTGGACGAGACCTCCGACCTGTCCCACCTCTGGTGAGCCCTTGTCCCTGTCCCCGTCCCTGTCCCCGTCCCCATCCCTGTCCCCATCCCTGTCCCCATCCCTGTCCCCGTCCCCATCCCTGTCCCCATCCCTGTCCCTGTCCCCGTCCCTGTCCCCATCCCTGTCCCCATCCCTGTCCCTGTCCCCGTCCCTGTCCCCGTCCCTGTCCCCTCCTGTCCCCAGTTCTATCCCCATCCCCTGGAGCGGATGTTCTCTGTTCTCAGTGTCCCCTGTCCCCATCCCTATCCCCATCCCTGTCCCTGCTGACCCTGTCCCTGTCCCCATCTCTGTCCCTGTCCCCAGTTTCTACCCCCGTCCCCTGGAGTGGAGGTTCTCAATGTCCCCTGTCCCTGTCCCCATCTCTGTCCCTGTCCCCAGTTTCTACCCCCGTCCCTGGAGTGGATGTTCTCGATGTCCCCTGTCCTTGTCCCCATCTGTGTCCCTGTCCCCAGTTTCTACCCCCGTCCCTGGAGTGGATGTTCTCAGTGTCCCCTGTCCCTGTCCCCATCTCTGTCCCTGTCCCCAGTTTCTACCCGCGTCCCCTGGAGCGGATGTTCTCGGTGTCCCTGACCCTGCTGGCCCTGTCCCGGTCCCTGTCCCCATCTGTCCTCTCCTGTCCCCAGTTTCTACCCCCGTCCCCTGGAGCGGATGTTCTCGGTGTCCCCTGACCCTGCTGGCCCTGTCCCGGTCCCTGTCCCCATCTGTCCTCTCCTGTCCCCAGTTTCTACCCGCGTCCCCTGGAGCGGATGTTCGCGCAGACGCTGGACGAGCCGTCCATGCTGCGTTTCGCCATCGCCTTCCCCCCTGCTCTGCGCCCACTTCTCGCGCTGCCAGCACCCCATGTGCCCCGAGGAGGTGGGTGACACCCTGGCGGGAGGTTTGGGGGGTCCCCCAGCCCTGTCCCCGGCTCTGAGGGGTGCCGTGTCCCCCCAGTACCCCCAGCTGGAGGCGGCGGCGCTGGGGCTGTGCCACAAGTTCCTGGAGGAGCTGGCGCGGGTGGGCAGCGGCTGCGTCCTGGACGCCTGCGCCGAGCAGCACAACCTGAGCCAGCAGGTCTGGGGGTCTGGGGGGGTCTGGGAGGGTCTGGGACCTTTGGGAGGCTTGGGGGGTCTGGGGGTCTAGGGGAGTCTGGGACTTTTGGCGGGCTTGGGGGGTCTGGGGGGTCTGGGACTTTTGGAGGAATTGGTGACCCTTGGGGCCTTCAGGACCTTTGGGGTCTCCAGGACCTTTGAGGTCTCCAGGACCTTTGAGATCTCCACGACCTTTGGGGTCTCCAGGACTTTTGGGGGTTTCAGGATCTTTGGGGTCTCCAGGACTTTTGGGGGTTTCAGGACCTTTGGGGTCTCCAGGACCTTTGGGGTCTCCAGGACTTTCGAGGGTTTCAGGATATTTGGGGTCTTGGTGGCCTTTGTGGTCTCAGAATCTTTGGGGGCTCAGTGGCCTTTGGGGTCTTGGTGGCCTCTGGGGGCTCCAGCATCTTTGGGGGTTCAGTGGCCTTTGGGATCTTCACACCTTCAGGATCCCTCTGCCTTTTGGGGTCTCCACCACCTTGAGGTCTCCATCAGCTTGAGGGTCTCTGTGGCCTTTGGGATCTCCAGAACCTCTGGGGTCTCTGTGGCCATCGGGCTCTCCATGGCCTCTCTGTCCCCTCGTCCCCCTGTCCCCACCAAACCCTCGGGATGGGGAGGTTCCTCCATGGGGGCCAAACCTGGCGGGGCTCCCCTGACCCAGCCCTGGGGGATGGTGGCCTGTGGTCATGGTGGCCACGTTTGGGGGTGTCCCCATGACCCTGTCCCCATGTCCCCATGTCCCCACGTCCCCATCCCCGCCCCGCAGCTCCTCCCCAAGCACTGTGCAGCCACCATCAGCAGAGCCCGCGTCAAGAAGACCCCGAAGCAGCCGCCCCGCAAGGGGGACCCCCAAAGGGACAAACCGGGGACAGAGAGCCACCGGCGGGACCGGACCCTGACCACCAAGTGAGCGCCACCCGGGGGAGGGACTGTCCCCACAGGGTCACGGTTCTGGGGACTTGGGAGTATCCAGAACCTCTGGGGGCTCAGTGGATTTGGGGGCTCCAGAATGTTTGGGGGCTCAGTGGATTTGGGGGCTTCAGGACCTCTGGGGGCTCAGTGGCTTTTGGGGGCTTCAGGACCTTTGGGGTCTTGGTGGCCTTTGGGCTCTTGGTGGCCTTTAGGGTTTTGGTTGCATTTGGGGTCTCCACAACCTCTGGAGCCTCGGTGGCCTTTGGGGTCTTGGTGGCCTTTGGGGTCCCCAGGACCTTTGGGGTCTCCAGGACCTTTGGGGTCTTGGTGGCCTTTGGGGTCTTGGTGGCCTTTGGGGTCTTCAGGAGCTCACCTGAAGCCACCAGGTGGCTTGGGTGTGGCATGGGGACATGGTGTGATTGTCCCCATGGATTGTCCCCATGGGGTCACACCGTGATTGTCCCCATGGGGTCACCATGTGACTGTCCCCACGGGGTCACACCATGACTGTCCCCCAGCATGGACAAGCTGCACCTGACCCTGGCCGAGCTGTCCCTGAGCCTCAACCACGTCCCCAACTTCACCGTCTTCGGGCACACGGTGACACCGGCCGAGTACCTGAGCAGCCACCTGGAGGCGCGCCTGACCAAGTGGGGACACGCTGGGGACACGTGGGGGACATGTGGGACCAAGGGGGACACGTGGGCCAAGGGGATGCATGGGCCTGAGGGGACATATGGGGCCAAGGGGACACGTGGGGCCAAGGGGACACATGGGGCTGAGGGGACACACTGAGGACACGCTGGGCACACCGCCGGGGACACATGGGACCGAGGGGACATGTGTGGCCAAGGGGACACATGGGGCTGAGGGGACACACTGAGGACATGCTGGGGACACACCGGGGACACGTGGGACTGAGGGGACACGTGGGGCCAAGGGGACACATGGGGCTGAGGGGACACACTGAGGACACGCTGGGCACACGCCGGGGACACATGGGACCGAGGGGACATGTGTGGCCAAGGGGACACGTGGGGCTGAGGGGACATGCTGGGGACACGCTGAGGACACGTGGGGCTGAGAGGATGCACGGGGCTGAGGGGACACGCTGGGGACACGCCGCAGACCCGCTGGGGACATGCGGGGACATGTGGGACTGAGGGGATACATGGGGCTGATGGGACACACTGGGGACATGCTGGGGACACGGGGGGCAGAGGGGACACACTGGGGACAGGCAGGACAGAGGGGACACGCTGGGGACAAGCCACGGACTTGCTGGGGACACACAGGACCGAGGGGACACATGGGGCTGAGGGGACACGGGAGGCTGAGGGGACACGCTGGGGGCGTGTGGGGCTGGGGGGACAACATGAGGCCAAGGGGACAGGCCAGGGACAAGCTGGGGACACACTGGGGACATGTAGGGCCACGGGGACATGCGGGGTTGATGAGACACGCTGGGGACACGCGGGGCCGAGGGGACACGCTGGGGACAAACCGTGGACTTGCTGGGGACACACGGAACCAAGGGGACATGCCGGGGACATGCTGGGGACACGCCGGGGACAGGCAGGGCCGAGGTGCCACCCTGCGCGTCCCTGACCATCCCCGTGTCCCCGCAGGGCCATCGTGGCCATGGCCGGGTACAGCCAGGCCTCGCAGGAGGTGGCGCGGCCCTCGGAGGTGCTGGCGGGGCTGGGCGCCTACATGGGGCTGGTGCAGCGCCTGGGACACCTGGTGGCCCTGGACACGGCGCGGCTGCTGCGGGCGGTGCTGCTGCAGCAGAGCCACCCCCGCGACGGCAGCGGGCAGCCCACGCTGACGGCCATCTACACAGACTGGTCAGTGCCACCGTGGGGACATGGGGACATGGGGACATGGGACAGGCAGCGGGCAGCCCACGCTGACGGCCATCTACACAGACTGGTCAGTGACACCGTGGGGACATGGGGACATGGGGACATGGGACAGGCAGCGGGCAGCCCACGCTGACCGCCATCTACACAGACTGGTCAGTGCCACCGTGGGGACATGGGGACATGGGGACAGGGTCACTGTGGGGCATGCAGCCCATGCTGGCCACCATCTACACAGACTGGTCAGTGACACCGTGGGGACATGGGGACATGGGGACAGGGTCACTGTGGGGCATGCAGCCCACGCTGACCGCCATCTACACAGACTGGTCAGTGCCACCGTGGGGACATGGGGACATGGGGACATGGGACAGGCAGCGGGCAGCCCACGCTGACCGCCATCTACACCGACTGGTCAGTGCCACCGTGGGGACATGGGGACATGGGGACAGGGTCACTGTGGGGCATGCAGCCCACGCTGACCGCCATCTACACAGACTGGTCAGTGCCACCGTGGGGACATGGGGACATGGGGACAGGGTCACTGTGGGGCATGCAGCCCACGCTGACCGCCATCTACACAGACTGGTCAGTGACACCGTGGGGACATGGGGATGTGGGGACGTGGGGACATGGGACATGGGACATGGGACATGGGACAGGCAGCAGGCAGCCCACGCTGACCGCCATCTACACCGACTGGTCAGTGCCACCGTGGGGACATGGGGACATGGGGACAGGGTCACTGTGGGGCATGCAGCCCACGCTGACCGCCATCTACACCGACTGGTCAGTGCCACCGTGGGGACATGGGGACATGGGGACAGGGTCACTGTGGGGCATGCAGCCCACGCTGGCCACCATCTACACAGACTGGTCAGTGCCACCGTGGGGACATGGGGATGTGGGGACAGGGTCACTGTGGGGCATGCAGCCCACGCTGACCGCCATCTACACAGACTGGTCAGTGCCACCGTGGGGACATGGGGACAGGGTCACCCATAGGGGCTGGGGACATGGGGACAGGGTCACTGTGGGGCATGCAGCCCACGCTGACGGCCATCTACACAGACTGGTCAGTGACACCGTGGGGACATGGGGACATGGGGACATGGGACAGGCAGCGGGCAGCCCACGCTGACGGCCATCTACACAGACTGGTCAGTGCCACCGTGGGGACATGGGGATGTGGGGACGTGGGGACATGGGACATGGGACATGGGACATGGGACAGGCAGCAGGCAGCCCACGCTGACCGCCATCTACACCAACTGGTCAGTGACACCGTGGGGACATGGGGACATGGGGACAGGGTCACTGTGGGGCATGCAGCCCACGCTGGCCGCCATCTACACCGACTGGTCAGTGACACCGTGGGGACATGGGGACATGGGACAGGCAGTGAGCGGCCCACGCTGACCGCCATCTACACAGACTGGTCAGTGACACCGTGGGGACGTGGGGACATGGGGACAGGGTCACCCATAGGGGCTGGGGACATGGGGACAGGGTCACTGTGGGGCATGCAGCCCACGCTGGCCGCCATCTACACCGACTGGTCAGTGACACCGTGGGGACATGGGGACAGGGTCACCCATAGAGGCTGGGGACAGGTCACTGTAACTGCCATCTACACAGACTGGTCAGTGCCACCACAGGCTGGGGACATGGGGACAGGATCACCATGGGGCAGGCAGCAGGCAGCCCACACTCACCGCCATCTACACAGACTGGTCAGTGCCACCATGGAGGGGACAGGGACAGGGTGGCAGGGTCACTGCATGGTGTGGGGGGGGGGACATGAGGACAGGGTCACCACAGGGCAGGGGGACAGGGTGGTGGCAGCACGGATATGGGTGGAATTGCCGTGGGTGACCTTGCCATGGGTGACAGTGCCATAGGTGACACTGCCCAGAGTGACAGGTGACAGTGCCGCAGGTGACAGCGGTGTCCCCGCAGGTACCTGGAGGCGCTGCTGCGCCAGGCCAGCACCGGGGCCGTGGGTGACAGTGCCATGGGTGACAGTGCCATAGGTGACAGTGCCATAGGTGACACTGCCCAGGATGACACTGCCACAGGTGACAGTGCCGCAGGTGACAGCGGTGTCCCCGCAGGTACCTGGAGGCGCTGCTGCGCCAGGCCAGCACCTGGGCCGTGGGTGACAGTGCCATGGGTGACAGTGCCATAGGTGACAGTGCCATAGGTGACACTGCCCAGGATGACACTGCCACAGGTGACAGTGCCACAGGTGACAGGTGACAGTGCCGCAGGTGACAGCGGTGTCCCCGCAGGTACCTGGAGGCGCTGCTGCGCCAGGCCAGCACCGGGGCCGTGCTCCTGTCCCCGGCCCTCCAGGCCTTCACCACGGTGCCCCGCGAGGAGCAGCCCCCGTTCAGCGCCGCCGAGTTCTCCGACGTCTCAGGTGGGCTGGGGGGGGTCTGGGGGGGCGGCTGTCACCCCCTGTCCCCCCAGTGTCCCCACCTGTCCCCACCTGTCCCCTCTGCAGAGATGCGGGCGCTGGCCGAGCTCATCGGGCCCTACGGGATGAGGTTCCTGAGCGAGAACCTGATGTGGCACGTGGGGTCCCAGGTGACAGAGCTGAAGGTACGGGGACAGGGACAGGGACAGGGACAGGGGACACATCCTAATGCCACCCTAACCCTGTACCCGCCTGCCCCTTGGAATGGTGGGGGATGCCAGGTCCCCTAATGTCCCCAGTGTCCCCAATGTCCCCAGCATCCCCAGTATCCCCAGTGTCCCCAGAGTCCCCAGTGGTGTCCCCATGTCCCCGCAGAAGCTGGTGGTGGAGAACATGGACACGCTGGTGCAGCTGCGCTGCTGCCGGGCCGAGCAGAGGCCGGCGCTGCTGCCCCGCCTGAGCTGTGAGTGGCACAGGGGTGGCACAGGGGTGACACAGGGGGGTGGCACACAGAATGGCACACGGGGGTGGCACAGGAGGTGACACACAGAATGGCACACGGGGGTGGCACATGGAGGGTGGCACACAGGGGGGTGGCACACAGAATGGCACACGGGGGTGGCACACAGGGTGGCACACGGAAGGTGGCACACGGAAGGTGGCACACGGGGGTGTCACACGTGTCACCCCGCTGTCCCCCGCGTGTCCCCACAGCGGCCGAGAACGTCCTGAAGCGCATGACCATCATCGGGGAGATCCTGAGCTTCCGCGCCATGGCCCAGCAGGGCCTGCGGGAGGTGGGACCCCCATGGGACCCCCGGGACACCCCCAGACCCTGGCATCCCTCCAGGACACCCATTTGGGGACCCAGGACACCCCTGACCCCCATTCGGGGACCCAGAAGCCCCCATTTTGGGACCCCATCCCCCCATTTGAGGACACAGGATTCCCCCCCCCCCATTTGGGGCCCAGTGCCCCCCATTCTGGGGTCCCAGTCCCCCCCCATTTGGGGCCCAATGCCCCCCTGACTCCCATTTGGGACCCAAACCCCCATTTGGGGACCCATGACCCCCCCATTTTGGGGACATGTGACCCCCCAATTTTGGGGACCCAATCCCCCCATTTGGAGACCCATGACCCCCCCATTTTGGGGACCCAATCCCCCCATTTTGGGGCCCAGGACCCCCCCTGACCCCCCCGCCCGCCCCCCCAGGTGTTCTCCCAGCACTGCCCGTTCCTGATGGGCCCCATCGAGTGCCTGGCGGACGTGGTGACCCCGGACACCGACATCCAGGTGGGGACAGGGACACGGGGGGTGCCCACCCGGCCGAGTGACACCGCGTGACACCGCGTGGCCCTGTCCCCCTGTCCCCAGGTCACCCTGAGCATCTTCGAGCTGGCCTCGGCCGCGGGGGTCCCGTGCGAGGTGGACCCGGCGCTGGTGGCGGCCCTGGCGGGGCACAGGACAGGTGCGGGGGCTCTGGGGACACCGCGGGTGGCGCTGTCACGGCCCGGGTGGCGCTGTCACCTCCAGGGTGGCGCTGTCACCTCCAGGGTGGCGCTGTCACGGCCCGGGTGGCACTGTCACGGCCCGGGTGGCACTGTCACCTCCAGGGTGGCACTGTCACGGCCCGGGTGGTGCTGTCACCTCCAGGGTGGCGCTGTCACGGCCCGGGTGGCACTGTCACCTCCAGGATGGCGCTGTCACCTCCCGGATGGCGCTGTCACAGCCCGGGTGGCTCTGTCACCGCCCGGGTGGCACTGTCACCTCCCGGGTGGCGCTGTCACGGCCCGGGTGGTGCTGTCACCTCCAGGGTGGCACTGCCACCGTCTGGGTGGCACCGTTACTGCCCAGGTGGCACTGTCACCTCCCGGGTGGCACTGTCACCCCCCGGGTGGCGCTGTCACTGCCCGGGTGGCACTGTCACTGCCCGGGTGGCGCTGTCACCGCCGGGATGGCGCTGTCACCGCGCTGTCCCCTCGGCAGAGGCCGTGTCCCCCGAGGAGGATTACAAGGTGTCCTGCCTGCTCCTGGTGTTCGTGGCCGTGTCCCTGCCCCTGCTGGCCGCTGACCCCGCGTCCCTCTACAACCCCGAGCTGGACGGTGAGGGGGGCAGTGACCCTGTGTCCCTGTGTCCCCTTTGTGTCCCCTGTGTCCCTTTGTGTCCCTGTGTCCTCATGTCCCCATGTCTCCGTGTCTCCTGTCCTGTGTCCCTGTCCTCATGTCCCCATGTCCCCAGTGTCTCTCTGTGTGTCCCTGTGTCCCCCTGTCCCTGTGTCCCCATGTGCTCATGTCCCCATGTCCCCTGTTCACTGTCCCCTGTGTCCCTTGTGCCTCTGTATCCTCATGTCCCCATGTCCCTGTGTGTCCTCATGTCCCTGTGTCCTCTGTCCCTTTGTGTGTCCCTGTGTCCCTGTCCCATGTCCTCATGTGCCCATGTCCCCTGTCCCCATGTCCCTGTGTGTTCCCATGTCCCTCTGTGTGTCCCCATGTCCCTGTGCGTCCCCATGTCCTCATGCTTGCAGTTCTCACTGTCCCATTGTCACAGCAGAAGGTTTGGGGGGACACTGGGACTGTCACCAAGGGAAGCGGCACTGTTGTCCCCAACATTCCTGTGTCCCCAACCCTGCTGTGTCCCCAACATTTGAGTGTCCCCAACACCTTCCTGTGTCCCCAGCCCCTTCCCATGTCCCCAGCCTTCCCGAATCCCCAATTTCCCCGTGTCCCCCCCTTTACTGACTCCCACCCCGTGTCCCCCCCGGTGTCCCCCCGATGTCCCCGTGGTGTCCCCAGGCCACAACAACAACGTGCACTGCCTGGCCAAGGCCATCGTGCAGCTCTCGGCCGCGCTTTTCACCGTGCACGGCAAGAACATCGAGACGCACCTCAAGGAGTTCCTGCTGGTGAGCCTGGCATGGCACTGTCCCCTCTGGGGTGGCACTGTCCCCTCCCTGGGCTGGCCCTGTCCCTGTCCCCTCTGGGCTGGCCCTGTCCCCTCTGGGCTGGCCCTGTCCCCTCTGGGCTGGCACTGTCCCCTCCCTGGGCTGGCCCTGTCCCTTCTGGGCTGGCCCTGTCCCCTCTGGGCTGGCACTGTCCCTGTCCCCTCTTGAGGCTATCCCTGTCCCCTCCAGGCTGGCCCGGCCCCACTGGGCCAGCATTGTCCCCTCCCTGGGGCTGGCACTGTCCCTGTGCCCTCTGGGGTGGCACTGTCCCCTCCCTGGGGCTGGCTCTGTCCCCTCTGGGCTGGTTCTGTCCCTGCTCTCCTTGACTGACCCTGTCCTCGACCCTGTCCCTGCTGTCCCCAACTGTCCCTGTCCCCGCTGTCCCTGTGGCTGTCCCCCCGCTGTCCCCCTGTCCCTGTCACTGTCCCCCCGCTGTCCCCCTGTGTCCCCAGCTGGCCTCCAGCAGCCTCCTGCAGCTGGCCCAGGAGCCGGACAAGGCGCGGCTGCGGAACCAGGACTCGATCGTGCTGCTGCTGCACCTGGTGGGGACATGGGGACACCTGGGGGGACACCTGGGGACATGGGGGACACCTGGGACACCAGGGACACCTGATGGGGACACCTGGGAGGGACATGGGGACGCCTGGTGGAGACATCTGCGACACCTGGGGCGACAACTGGGATATGGGAGACACCTGGGGGGGACATGAGGGGAACCTGTGGACACCTAGGGGGGACACCTGGGGACACCTGTGGGGGACCTGGGGGGCTCTGGGAGGCACCTGGGCACACCTGGGGGGGACACCTGGGGGGCACAGGGGAGGGGACATGGGAGGGGATATGGGGGCACCTGGAGGGGACATGGGGACACCTAGGGGACACCTGGGGGGAACACCTGGGGCACCAGGGGGGGACCTGGGGACACTTGGGGAGCACATGGGAGGCACCTGGGGGGCACATGGAGGGGACATGGGGGGGGACATGAGGACACCTGGGACACCTGGGACACCTGGGACACCTGGCGCCCGGAGCGATTTCAATGCAAATATTGCAAATATTGCAAATATTGCAAATATTGCAAATATTGTGAATATTTCAAATATTTCACCCTGAGCCGGGCCAGGGGAGCTGTGGGTGGGGGTCAGCAGGAGTGGGGGGCGCTGATGGGTCATGATGGGTGTTTATGTGTTTATGGGTGCCGATGGGTGCCAATTGGTGCCGATGGGTGCCAATGGGTGCCAATGGGTGCCGATGGGTGCCGATGGGTGTTTATGGGTGCCGATGGGTGCCAATTGGTGCCGATGGGTGCCGATGGGTGCCGATGGGTGTTTATGGGTGCCGATGGGTGCCAGTTGGTGCCGATGGGTGCCGATGGGTGCTTATGGGTGCCCCCCACCCCAAAGATCGTGGCCGAGTCGTCCTTCCTGACGCTGGACATGCTGGAGAGCTGCTTCCCATACGTGCTGCTGCGCAACGCCTTCCGCCAGGTGTGCCGGGATCCCCCCGGCCGGGCCCCCCAGCACTGACCGGGACCCCCGAGACCCCCGGGACCCCCGGGACCCCCGGCCGGGCCCCCCGCACTGACCGGGACACCCAGGACCCCTGGCCAGAACCCCCCGGCTCTGAATGGGACCCCCAGACCCTGCCCGAGCCTCACCGAGACCCTCCGTGTTCCACTCTCGAGACCCCCACCGGGACCCCCGTTCCCCTCCCCAAATTCCTCAATCCACCCAACCCCAGGACCCCCGACCCCAAATCCCCTCCCTGTCACCCTCAGGACCTCCAAATCTCCTCCCCAAATTCCCCAACTCACCCGCAGGACCCCCGACCCTAAATCCCCCTCCCTCTCCCCCCCAGGACCCCCAAATCCCCTCCCAAAATTCCCCAACCTCCCCCCTGCACGACCCCCAAACTCTCCTCTCACCACTGGCTGCCCCCACCGTGTCCCCAAGTGTCCCCAACCGTCCCCAAATGTCCCTCGCTGTCCCCCCGCTGCCGCCGCTGTCACTAAAATCCTCTTTGCACCCCAAATTCGCCTCTCGGCCAATATTGGGGTCCGCAGGGGCCGCCCCCCTTTGGGACCCCCCGGGGGCGTTCCGGGACCCTCGGGGGGCTCTGGGGGTGTCCGGGGGTGTCCAGAGGGTCTGGGGGTGTCCCGCAATGTCCAGGGGTGTCCGGGGGTGTCCGGGGGGGTTCAGGACGCGTCGCCCCCCCCGATTCCCACCGGGATTTTCCCACCGTGATTTTCCCCCCGTTCCGCTCCCGCTCCCTCCCGCCGGGGCCGTGCCTCAGTTTCCCTCCCGCCGCTCGTTCCCAGCCCCGTTCCCGCTCTCCCTCCGCATCCCCCGGGTATTATTTTATTTTATTTTATTTTATTTTATTTTATTTTATTTTATATTTTATTTTATTTTTTATTTTATTTTATTTTATTTTTATTTTATTATTTTATTTTATTTTTTATTTTTTTTTTTATTTTATTTTATTTTATTTTTTAATATTTTATTTTATATTTTATTTTATAATTTATTTTATTTTATTTTATATTTTTATTTTATTTTATTTTATATTTTTTATTTTTTATATTTTATTTTATATTTTATTTTATTATATTTCATTTTATATTTTATATTTTATATTTTATATTTTATATTTTATATTTTATATTTTATATTTTATATTTTATATTTTATTTTATTTTTAAAATTTTTTTAAATTTTTAAAAAAATTTTTATTTATTTTTATTTTATTTTATTTTATTTTCCCCCCCGGGTATTTTCGGTCCCCCTCCCGTGCCCGGCTCGGTTCCCCTCCCGTTGCCATTCCGCGCACGGCGGCGGCTCCGGGATGAGTCACCGGCAGCGGCGGCAGCGCCCGCCGAGCCCCCCCCGGGGACCCCCGCGGGACCGAGACCCCTCCCCAAAAACCCGGCCCAAAAAGCGCCCGGCAAAAATCGCGTTAAAACCAAAGAAAACCCCCAAAAATAAAACCAAAAAACCCCCAAAATGAAAATCAAACCTCCCCGAGCAGCAGGAGGTGCAGAACCACCCCCCAGCCAAAAAAACCCCAAAAACAAAAGGAAAAAACCTCAAAATGAAAATCAACCCCCCCTGAACAGCGAGACGACCCCAGAACGACCCCCCCCCCGCCAAAAAACCCCAAAACCAAAAATACCCCAAAAATGAAAATCAAACCACTCTGAGCAGCAGGGGGTGCGGAATGACCCCCCCCCCCGCCAAAAACCCCAAAATCAAAAGGAAAAAAACCCAAAAACAAAAGGAAAAAAACCCCAAAAATAAAGGGAAAAGCACCCCCAAAAATAAAAAGAAAAAACCCAAAACCCCCCAAAAAACCCAAAAATTCCAAATCAGCCCCCCGCGAGCAGCGGGAGGTGCAGAACGACCCCGGAGCGACCCCCCCGTCAAAAAACCCCAAAAACAAAAGGAAAAAAACCCCAGAAATAAAAGGAAAAAACCCCAGAAAAAGGGAAAAAAACCCCCCAAAATAAAAGGAAAAAACCCCAAAAATGAAAATCAAACTCCAAAAATGAAAATCAGCCCCCCCTCCGAGCAGCGGGAGGTGCGGAACGACCCCCCCGCCAAAAAACCCTAAAAACAAAAGGAAAAAAACCCCAAAAATAAAAGGAAAAAAACCCAGAAAAAGGGAAAAAAACCCCCAAAATAAAAGGAAGAAACCCCAAAAATGAAAATTGAACCCCCCCGAGCAGCGGGAGGTGCGGAACGACCCCCCCGCCAAAAAACCCTAATAACAAAAGGAAAAAAAACCCCAAAACCAAAAGGAAAAATAACCCCCAAAAATAAAAGGAAAAAACCCCAAAAATTCCAAATCAACCCCCCCTTGAGGAGGGAGGTGCAGAACGACCCCGGAGCGACCCCCCCGCCAAAAAACCCTAAAAACAAAAGGAAAAAAACTCCAAAAACAAAAGGAAAAAAAAAAACAAAAAAGGGAAAAAACCCCCCAAAATAAAAGGAAAAACCCCAAAAATAAAAGGAAAAACCCCCAAAAATGAAAACTGAACCCCCCCGAGCAGCGGGAGATGCGGAACGACCCCGGAGCGACCCCCCCTGTGCCCCCCCCCCCCCGCGCTCCCCAGGGGCTCGGCCGCCCCCTCCCCGCTCCCGGCACGGCTTTAATTCCCTTTAATTCCCTTTAATTCCATTTATTCCCATTGATTCCCGTTTATTTCGGGCTCGTCAATCACGAGCCCGGAGCGTTCCCGACCCCCCCCCACCTTTTCCCGCTTTTGTCTCGCGCGCGCCCACCCGGCCCCGCCCACGGGGCCCCCCCGGGGCCGCCCCCACCCCAAAACTCTGCCCCTCCCCCCGCAAAGTTCCAAGGTACAAAAATGAAAATTTGGGATTTTCATCAAACCCCGGAATGCGGCCGGGGAGCCCCAAAATGAGCGGGGGGAACCCAAAAGGAGCAGCTCGAGGAGCACAAAGAGATTTGGGGGCTCTGAGATTGATTTGGGGGGCCCCAAAATGAGTTGGAGACCCCCGAAATGAGTTTGGGACCCCTAAAATGAGTTTGGGACCCCCGAAATCAGTGGGAGACCCCCAAAATGAGTCTGAGATCCCTGAAATCGGTTTAAGGATCCCCAAATCTGTTTGAGGATCCCCAGATCAATTTGAGAACCCCAAAATGAGTTTGGGGCCCTCAAAATGAGTTGGAGACCCCTAAAACCAGTTCGAGGATCCCCAAACCAAGTTGAGAACCCCAAAATTAGTTTGGGACGCCTGAAATAAATTTGAGGATCCCCAGATCAGTTTGAGAACCCCAAAATGCGTTTGGGACCCCCAAAATGAGTTCGGGACCCCTGAAACCAGTTTGAGGATCCCCAAATCAATTTGAGAACCCCAAAATGATTCTGAGGACCCCCAAAATCACTCTGAGGACCCCCGAGTTTATTTGAAGACCCCAAAATGAGTTTGAGCCCCCTAAAATCTGTTCGAGGATGCCCAAATCAGTTTGAGGAGCCCCAAATGGGTTTGAGACCCCCAAAATAAGTTTGGAGACCCCTGAAATGAGTTCGAGAAACCCAAAGTCACTTTGATGACCCCCAAGATCACTCTGAGGACCCCCGAGTTTAACTGGAGACCCCTGAAATCAATTCGGGGATCCCCAAATCTGTTTGAGAAGCCCCAAATGGGTTTGAGACCCCCAAAATGAGTTGGAGACCCCTGAAATGAGTCTGAGACCACTGAAATGAGTCGGAGACCCCTAAAGTGAGTTCGAGAAACCCAAAATCACTTTGAGGACCCCCAAAATCACTTTGAGGACCCCCAAAATCACATTGAAGGCCCCCAAAATCCCTCTGGGGCCCCCCGAGTTTATCCGGAGACCCCAAAATCAGTTGGAGACCCCCGAAATCAGCTCGAGAAACCCAAAATCGCTTTTGAGGACCCCCAAAATCCTTTCCCGGCGGGGTCGGGGGGGGCACCCCGGGGTGGGGGCGCACCCAGGGGTGGGGGTGGGGGGCTCACCTGCCTCCCCCCCCCCCCCCCCCCGCGCCGAGGTGGGCGCTGCTCCCACCCACGGCGTTATTACATAAAGGCTGATGATGATGATGATGATGATGATGAGCGCTGCTGGGAACGTGCGGGGAGGCGGCGGGGGGGGCCCCGAACCCCGAAACCCCCCCGGGGAGGGCTGAGACCCCTCCCCAGTCAGCCCCGAGAGCCCCCCCAGGTCAGTCATGGGGTCCCCGCACCCCAAAACCCCCCCGGGGCTGCCTGAGACCCACCCCCCCCCAGGCCAGTCTGAGACCCCCCCGGGCCGGTCCTGAGGTCCCTGTACCCCAAAACCCCCCCAGTCTGTCCTGAGACCCCCCCCAGGTCAGCCATGGGGTCCCTGCACCCCCAAAACCGCCCCGAGCCATCTCAGAGACCCCCCCCGGGTCAGCCCCGAGACCCCTCCGGGTCAACCCTGAGGTCCTCGGACCCCAAAACCCCCCTGGGCCGGCCCGAGACCCCCCCAGACCATCTTTGAGCCCCCCCTTGCCATCCCTGAGGTTCCTGTACCCCAAAACCCCCCTGGGCCGGCCCTGAGACCCCCCGAGACCCTCCCAGGTCAGCCCTGAGACCCCCCCGGGTCAGCCCTGGTGTCCCCGCACCCCAAATCCCTCCCTGGACCTGCCTGAGACCCCCCCCCAATCATCCCTGAGACCCCCAGACCATCTGTGAGACCCCCCGGGTCACCCCTGAGGTTCCTGCACCCCAAAACCCCCCTGACCCAGCCCCGAGACCCCCCCAGGTCACCCCCGAGCCCCCCCCGGGTCACCCCCGAGCCCCCCCGGTCCAGCAGCGCCCCCGAGGGGCTCTAGGGAGGGTCTGGGGGCGCTCGGGGTTGGGGGCAGGGGGTGTGGGGGGGTCCCCTCCAGCTCCAGCTGCTCCCCCCAGCCCAGGTGAGGACCCACAATAATGGGGAGGGGGCTGCTGACCCCCCCAACGGGGACACAAAGGGACCCAGCCGGGGATGGACGGGGCTGGGGGTCGCACAGGGGGGGGTCCCGAAGGTCCTGACCCCCCCCACCCCCTCCCTTCAGGATATTTTGGGGTCCCCCCGGTTGGGGCTCAGCCCCGGGGGGGTCCCGGGGGTCCCTTGGGGGGGGTCCCGGGGGTCCCTCCCTTCCTTGGGGGGGGGGTCCGGGGCAGCGCCCCCTCCCCCGCGTTCCCCTGCGGGTCCCGGGGGTCCCTTGGGGAGGTCCCGGGGGTCTCTCGGGGGTCCCGGGGCTCCTTTGGGGGGGGTCCTGGGGGTCCCTCCCGCCCCTCGGGCAGCGCCCCCTCCCCCGCATGCCCCTGGGGGTCCCTCCCTCCCCCCGGGGGTCCCGGGGCATCGCCCCCTCCCCCCCGTTCCCCCGGGGGTCCCGGCGCCGCGCGGGGCTGGGCGGACCCCCCGGTGCCGGCCCCCGCCCCCGGCTCCCCCCGCCCCGCCCCGCCCGCCGGTGCCGGTGCCGGGGCCGCCTCGGGGAAAGTTGCGGCGAGCCCCGGGCGGCGGAGGCAGCGCCGGCACCGCCAGCGGCGACACCGGGGCCGGGCGGCACCGGCGGCACCGGCGGCACCGGCGGCAGCACCGGCCGAGCATCCCCCGGTAGGAGCGCGCAGCATCCCCGGTGCCGGCGCTGCCATCCCCGCTCCTCCGCCGCCCTCCCGCTCCTTCTCCCCCGCTTCCCTCCCGTTCTCCCTTCCCCGCTTCTCCGTTCCCGGTTCTCCCATCGCAGCTCTCCATCCCCGGTTCTCCCCTCCCGGTTCCCCCATCCCCGTCCTCCGTTCCCGGTTCTCCCCTCCCGGTTCTCCCCTCCCGGTTCTCCCCTCCCGGTTCTCCCTCCCGGTTTCCCCATTCTCGGTTCTCCATCCCCGGTTCTCCATCCCCGGTTCTCCCTCCCGCTTCTCCGTTCCCGGCCTCTCCCTCCCGGTTCTCCCGTGCCGCCGCTCCCACCCCCGGTGCCCGGATCCATCTTGGCTCCGGTGCTGCCTGCGCAGCCGCCGGCTACCGGGGGGCGGGGGGAGGCCGGGCCGGTGGGGCGCCCGCCGGGGCTGCGGCCGCTACCGGGGCCCGCAGGAGGCACCGGAGAACGGGGCCCGGGGGCAGCTCCGGGGGTACGGGAGGCACCGGGAGGGACCGGGGGGCTACAGAAAGGAGCCGGGGATACCGGGAGGGACCGGGCGATACCGGGAGGGACCGGGGGCTACCTGAGGAACCGGGAAGAAGCGGGGGATACCGGGAGGGACCGGGGGTTACCGGGAGGGACCGAGGGGCTACGGGAAGGAGCCAGGGGATACCGGAGGGACCGAGGGGCTACCGGGAGGGACCGGGAAGGAGCCCAGGGGGTACCGGAGGGACCGAGGGGCTACCGGGGGGTAGCGGGGGGTACCGGGGGGTACCGGGGGCACCGGACCGGGCTGAGCCGCGCTCGCCGCCCGTGCCAGGGGCGATGGAGCCGCCGCGGAGCCTCCCGGGGCTGGAGCGGGAGCGGGCGGCGCTGGACGCGGCCGGGGGGTGCCCGTCCCCGCTGGACGCCAGGGCCGTGCCCGGCAGGAAGGTCTGGGTCAAGCTGCGGGCGCTGTGAGTGACCCCCGGCCGCGGGACCCCCGACCCCAAAGAGGGACCCCAGAGCCAACAGAGAGCCTGCCCTAAGAGAGAGACCCCAGACCCAAAGAGAGAGACCCCCCCAAAGAGAGAGACCCCGAACACAGAGAGAGACCCCCCCAAAGAGAGAGACCCCAAACCCAAAGGGAGAGACCGTGAACCCAAAGAGACCCCAGACCCAGAGAGAGACCCCAAACACAGAGAGAGACCCCAGACCCCAAAGAGGGACCCCAAACCCAAAGGGAGAAACCCCAGACCCAGAGAGAGACCCCAGACCCAGAGAGAGAGGCCCCCCCAAAGAGAGAGACCCTGAACCCAAAGGGAGAGACCCCAACCCAAAGAGACACCCCCCCAAAGAGAGAGACCCCAAACCCAAAGGGAGACCCCAACCCCAGAGAGAGACCCCAACCCCAGAGAGAGAGATCTCAAACCCAGAGAGAGACCCCAAACCCAAAGGGAGACCCCAAACCCCAAAGGGAGAGTCCCCTAAACCCAAAAGAGAGAGACGCCCCCAGAGTAGGACCCCCAAACCCCAAACTGGGACCCCCAAACTGGGACCTTTAAACCCCAAACCGGGAGTCCCAAACCCCAAACTGGGACCCCCAATTCAGGACACCCAAACCCCAAATTGGGACTCCCACACCGGGACCCCTGACCCCCATCCCCCTCTAAGCCCCCCCAGCACCCCCACCCCAAAAAGTCCCCAGGGACCCTCGGGGTGTCCCCAGGCCTCCTTCGGGCCCCCTTTGGGGACAGACTCGGGGTCCCCTCCCCTGGTGTGCCGCTCCGGGGGTGTCACCGCGGGGTGACAGCGGCCCCGGGGTGTCCCCAGCCCCGCGGGGACAGCGCAGGTGCCGCAGGTGCCACCCCCGTGCCACCGCTGTCCCCGGGGGGGGTGCCGGGGGTGCCACCCCCTCACCTGTGCCAGGCGCTCACGTGCCCCGCGCCCACCTGCGGCACGTGCGGCGCCCGGGGGGGTCCCCGTGGGGCGGGGGCGGCCCGGGGGGCGCCACGTGCGTGGGGACACGCGTGGGGACACGTGTGGGACACGGGGAGGGCACGGGCGGGGTGGGGCACGCGCGTGGGACACACCTGAGCTGCGTGCGACACACCTGAGCGTGCCCGGGGACACGGGGGGGACACTGTGCGGGTGTCACACGGGGGGGACACTGTGGGGGTGTCACACCCGTGTGCACGGGGGGCTGTGGCGCTCCGGGGGTGTCACACGTGTGTCCCGACGTGTCGCTCCCACAGGTGTGTCCCCAAAGTGGGGGCTGTCCCCTCCTGAGCCCCCCCGGTGTCCCCACCCCGCCATTCCCAGGGGTGACAGTGCCGGGGGTCCCCGAGGCCACCCTGTCACCCGTGGGGACACGGGGGTCACCAGGTGGTGGCAGGTGGCCCAGGGGGTGGCACTTAGCGGGGTGGCACAGCCTGACCCTGTCCCTTGTCCCCACGAGTGACACGGGGGCCCGGGGGGTGGCTGTCCCCAAGGGGGGTCCCCGAGGGTCCCCACGGGGGTGGCGGGGCGCGGGAAGGTGACAATCGCAGTCCCCAAGGTCACAGCAGCGCTGGTGACGTCTGTGCCCCCCCCGGCCCCCCTCGCTGTCGCTGTCACCGTCACTGTCGCCGTGACCGGGGGACGTGGTGGCCCCTCCCCAGCGCGTGGCTCCGGTGGCTGTGGTGGCCACAGCGGTGTCCTTGTGCTGGCACGGTGGCAGTGCCCATGTCCCCACGCTGTCACCACCCTGGGCACCCCCCTTGCCACCTGTGCCACCCCATGCCACCTGTGCCACCCTGTGCCACCTGTGCCACCCCATGCCACCTGTATCACCCCGTGCCACCTGTGCCACCCCATGCCACCTGTGCCACCCCATGCCACCTGTATCACCCCATGCCACCTGTGCCACCCCCCATGCCACCTGTGCCACCTATGCCACCTGTGCCGCCCCATGCCACCTGTATCACCCCGTGCCACCTGTGCCACCCCATGTCGTGGTGCCACCTGTGCCATGGGGGTGGCACTCCCCAGACAGGAATCCCCAATTCCCAGTCCCCTTCCTGTGTAGCCCCTCCTGTCCCCAACCTGGGGGGGCTGTCCCCGCTCTCCTGGGGGGGTCAATGCCACCCTGTCCCCACCCTGGGGCTGTCCCTGGGTGTCCCTAATCCTGTCCCCCCATTCCAGGGGTGTCCCCCTGTCCCTGGCTGTCCCTGACTGTCCCGCCCTGTTCCAGGGGTGCCCCCCATGCCCCTCTGTCCCTGGGTGTCCCTAACCCTGTCCCCCCCATTCTGGGGGTCCCTAACCCTGTCCCCCCTGTCCCTGGGGGTCCCTAACACTGTGCCCCCTATTCCGGGGGTCCCTACCCCTGTGCCCCCGTTCCGGGGGTGCCCCCCTGTCCCTAACCCTGTCCCCCCCATTCCGGGGGTCCCTAACCCTGTGCCCCCCATCCCGGGCGTGCCCCCCTGTCCCTGGGTGTCCCTAGCCCTGTGCCCCCCATTCCGGGAGTCCCTAGCCCTGTCCCCCCCATTCCGGGGGTCCCTAACCCTGTCCCCCCCATTCCGCGAGTCCCTAACCCCGTCCCCCCCATTCCGGGGGTCCCTAACCCTGTGCCCCCCATCCCGGGGGCGCCCCCGGTGCCCCCCAGGCTCCGTTTCCTGCTCAAGCAGCTCGAGGCGGGCGAGGTGAACGTGGAGGAGCTGAAGCGCAACCTGGAGTACGCGGCGTCGCTGCTCGAGGCCGTGTGCATCGACGAGACCAGGTGGGCACCCAGGGGGCACCCGGGGGACACCCGGGGGACACCCGGGGGCGGCCGCGGCCGCGCTGAGTGCCGCCGTGCCCCCAGGCAGGTGCTGGACACGGAGGACGAGCTGCGGGACATGGGCTCGGACGCGGCCGTGCCCTCCGAGGTGCGCGACTGGCTCGCCGCCACCTTCACGCAGCAGGCGCGGGCCAAGGGCCGCCGCGCCGAGGAGAAACCCAAATTCCGCAGCATCGTGCACGCCGTGCAGGCCGGCATCTTCGTGGAGAGGTGACAGAGGGGACACGGGGGCGGGGACGTGGCGGGGGGGGGGCGTTGAGTGGGACAGGGACACGGTGAGGGGGGTGTGGGGGACACGCTGAGCAAGGCACAGAGGGGACAGGGACACCCTGAGGATGGCACAGAGGGGACAGGGAGGGTGCAGGGGGGACAGGGACACTCCAAGGAAGGCACAGAGGGGACAGGGACACCCTGAGGAGGGCACAGAGGGGACAGGGAGGGCACAAGGGGGACAGGGACACACCAAGGAAGGCACAGAGGGGACAGGGACACACTGAGGAGGGCACGGGAACACCCCAAAGGGGACACAGGTGGGCACAAGAGGGCACAGAGGGGACAGGGACACATCAAGGAGAGCACAGAGGGGACAGGGACACCCTGAGAATGGCACAGAGGGGACAGGGAGACCCTGAGGAGGTCACAGGAACACCCCAAAGGGGACACAGGTGGGCACAAGAGGGCACAGAGGGGACAGGAACACACTGAGGAGGGCACAGAGGGGACAGGGACACACCAAGGAAGGCACAGAGGGGACAGGGACACACCGACGAGGGCACAGGGGGACACACTGAGCAGGGCACGGAGGGGACACGGTAGGGACAGAACTTCTGGGGGGCATGTGACAGGGTGGAGGTGAGCTGAGAGCAGAGGGGTCCCCAAAACCCAGGGACTGTCCCCAGCATCAGGTGGGTCCCCAAAACCCAGGAAGGTCCCTAGAACCGAGGTGGGTCCCCAGGTGTGTCCCCAGCGGTTTCCCCAGGTGTGTCCCCAGCACTATCCCCAGTCCCAGGGGTGTCCCCAGGGGTGTCCCCAGGGGTGTCCCCAGCCCTCAGGTGGGTCCCCAGACCTTGGGGGTCCCCAGGGGTGTCCCAAGCCCCCCAGCCCCCCCAGCCCTGCCTCCCCCCAGGATGTTCCGCCGGATGTACACGGCCGTGGGGCCGAGCTACTCCTCCTCCGTCCTCAACTGCCTGAAGGTACCGGGGCACCCCAAAAAAACCCCCCGAAAAAAACCCGAAAAATCCCCAAAACCCCGGGGGGGGGCTGCTGGGAGGCACTGGGAGGCACTGGGAACCAATGGGAGGCACTGGGAATAACTGGGAATCAATGGGAGTCAAAGGGAATCAATGGAATATCTGGGAATATCTGGAAATCAATGGGAATAACTGGGAATCAATGGGAATAACTGGGAATCAATGAGATATCAATGGGAATCAATGGGAATCAATGGGATATCAATGGGATATCTGGGAATAACTGGGAATCAATAGGAATCAATGGGAATCAATAGGAATCAATGGGAATCAATGGAATATCTGGAAATATCTGGAAATCAATGGGAATCAACGGGAATCAATGGGAATCAATGGGAATCAATGGGATATCAATGGAATATCTGGAAATCAATGGGAATAACTGGGAACCAATGGGAATCACTGGGAATCAATGGGAATCACTGGGAATCAATGAGAATCTATGGGAATATCTGGAAATCAATAGGAATCAGTCTCTGGGAATTACTGGGAATCACTGGGGTTTTACTGGGAATCAATGGGAATAAATGGGAATATCTGGGAATCTTTGGGAATCAATGGGAATCTTTGGGACTTACTGGGAATTTGGAAATCAATGGGAATATCTGGGATTCAATGAGAATCTCTGGGAATTACTGGGAATCTTTGGGAATCAATGGAAACCACTGGGAATTACTGGGAATTTGAGAACCAATGGGGATATCTGGGAATCTTTGGATATCAATAGAAATCTCTTGGAATTACTGGGAATTTGAGAATCACTCACTGGGAATTGCTGAGAATCTCTGGGAAGTATTGGGAATTTGGAAATCAATGGGAATCTCTGGGAATCACTGGGAATCTCTGGGAATCATTGGGAATTACTGGAAATTTTTGAATATCTGGGAATCTCTGGAAATCTTTGGGAATCACTGGGAATCAATGGGAATCTTTGGGACTTACTGGGAATTTGGAAATCAATGGGAATATCTGGGATTCAATGAGAATCTCTGGGAATTACTGGGAATCTTTGGGAATCAATGGAAACCACTGGGAATTACTGGGAATCTCTGGAAACCACTGGGAATTACTGGGAATTTGGGAATCAATGGGAATCTCTGGAAATCTTTGGGAATCACTGGGAATCAATGGGAATAAATGAGAATAAATGGGAATTACGGACTTCGCTGGGGCTTTACTGGGCTTTACTGGGAATTGCTGGGCACCCCGGGAATTGCCGGCTGTCCCTGGAATTCCCGGGCCCCCCCGGTGTCCCCAGCGGTGTCCCCGTGTCCCCCCAGGGCCTGGACCAGTGGTGCTTTGACGTGTTCTCGCTGCACCGCGCGGCCGAGGAGCACTCGCTGCGCACGGTGGTGTTCGAGCTCTTCACCCGCCACAACCTCAACAGCCGCTTCAAGGTGGGAATGGAGCCCCAAAATATCCCAAAATACCCCAAAATATCCCTAAAATATCCCAAAATACCCCAACAACCTCACAGCCGCTTCAAGGTGGGAATAGAGCCCCAAAATATCCCCAAAATACCCCAAAATATCCCTAAAATATCCCAAAATAACCCCCACAACCTCAACAGCCGCTTCAAGGTGGGAATGGAACCCCAAAATACCCCAAAATATCCCCAAAATAACCTCCACAACATCAACAGCCGCTTCAAGGTGGGAATGGAGCCCCAAAATATCCCAAAAATACCCCAAAATGTCCCTAAAATATCCCAAAATAACCCCCACAACCTCAACAGCCGCTTCAAGGTGGGAATGGAACTCCAAAATACCCCAAAATATCCCCAAAATAACCTCCACAACATCAACAGCCGCTTCAAGGTGGGAATGGAGCCCCAAAATATCCCAAAAATACCCCAAAATGTCCCTAAAATATCCCAAAATAACCCCCACAACCTCAACAGCCGCTTCAAGGTGGGAATGGAACCCCAAAATACCCCAAAATATCCGGAAAATAACACAAAATACCCCCCAATACCCCCACAACCTCAACAGCCGCCTCAAGGTGGGAATGGAGCCCCAAAATACCCAAAAATACCCCCAAAATACCCGAACATACCCCCCATGACCTCAACAGCCACTTCAAGGTGTGAATGGAACCCCAAAATCCCAAAAAATGACCCAAAATACCCCAAAATACCCCCACAACCGCAACAGCTGCTTCAAGCTGTGACCCAACATCCAAAATCCTCCAAAACACCCCCCAAAAAACCCCAAAACACCCCCAAAACCCTCCCCGGGACCCCCAAACTCCAACCCAGGACTCCCTCAGGACCCTCCCTAAATCCACCTCGGGACCCCCAAAATCCACACCAGGACCGCCAAAATCCACCCAAGACCCCCAAAATCCACTCAAGACCCCCAAACTCCCCTCCAGGACCCCCGAGCTGCCCCTCGGGGACTGTCCCCCTTTGTCACCCCACTGTCCCCACAGATCCCCGGCGCGTTCCTGACGTCGCTGCTGGAGGCGCTGGAGGGCGGCTACGGAAAGTTCCGGAACCCCTACCACAACCAGGTGCACGCGGCCGACGTCACCCAGACCGTGCACTGCTTCCTGCTGCGCACCGGCATGCTGGTACGGGCACACGGGGACACGGGGACATGGGGACAGCGCTGTCCCCAAGGGTGGCACCGCGCCACTCGCCTGTCCCCACCGCCTGGCGCTGCTCGTTGCCATGGGAATGTCCCCAGGGTGGCACCAGGGACACGAATGGGTGGCACCTGGAAAGGGTCTGTGCACAGTTGTCACATGTGGGGTGGCACCGGGCGCACGTCTGTGCCCCCACTGTCCCTACAGTTGTAACATGGTGACACCTGGCACGCATCTGTGCCCAATTGTCCCCATCCGGCTGTCACAAAAGGGGTGGCACCCGGCACACATCTGTGCCCCACTGTCCCCATCTGGCTGTCACAAATGGGGTGGCACCTGGCACATGTCTGTGCCCCACTGCCCCTATACAATTGTCACAGGTCTGGTGGCACCTGGCACATATCTGTGCCCAATTGTCCCCATCTGGCTGTTACACATAGGGTGGCACCTGGTGCACATGCGTTGTCCCCACGTGGCTGTCACGGCACACCTGCGGTGTCACACTCATGGTTGGGGTGGCCCTGTCCCCATCCTTGTCCCTGACTCGCTGTCCCTGTCCCGTCCCCGTCCCTGTCCCTGTCCCCATCCCTGTCCCTGTCCCTGTCCCTGTCCCTGTCCCTGTCCCCATCCCTGTCCCATCCCTGTCCCTTCTCTGTTCTGTCCCCATCCCTGTCCCTGTTCCCATCCCTGTCCCTGTCCCTGTCCCCGTCCCTGTCCCTGTCCCTGTCCCCAGCACTGCCTGTCCGAGATCGAGCTCCTGGCCATCGTCTTCGCCGCCGCCATCCACGACTTTGAGCACACGGGGACAACGAACAGCTTCCACATCCAGACCAAGTGAGGGCACGGGGACAGGGACACGGCATGGCACGGGTGGCACAGCATGGCACAGGGACACGGCATGGCACAGATGGCATGGCATGGCAGGGATAGAGCATGGCACTGGGACACAGCGTGACATGGGGGACATGGCATGGCGCAGGGACATGGCACAGCATGGTGACACAGCACAGTATGGGCGGCATGGCACAGGTGACACAGCACGGTATGGGTGGCGCAGCATGGCACAGGTGACACAGCACAGGTGGCACAGCATGGCACAGCATAGGTGGCACAGCATGGCACAGGTGGCACAGCATGGCACACCTGACACAGCAGATGTGGCACAGCGTGGCACAACATGGCTGGCACAGCACAGGTGACACACCATGGCACAGGTGACATGGCATGGCCCAGGTGGCACGGCACAGTGTGGGTGGCACGGCGTGTCCCAGGCATGGCTGCAGACCCGTCCTGGGGACACCATGGTGACACCTGCGGAACGCTCAGGGCCACCAACACAGCCAGGACACAGCCGTGCTGCCACCCAGGGCCACCCCTCTCTGCGGGGGCCCTGTCCCCATGCCCAGTGTCCCCACGGTGTCCCCGTGGTGTCCCCAGGTCGGACACGGCCATCCTGTACAACGACCGCTCGGTGCTGGAGAACCACCACATCAGCGCCGTGTTCCGCCTGATGCAGGACGAGGAGCTCAACATCTTCGTCAACCTCACCAAGGACGAGTTCGCGTAAGGTCCCCTCGCCGCCCCCTCGCTGTCCCCACCCTGTCCCCGCGCTGTCCCTGACCGCGTCCCCTCTGTCCCCTCAGCGAGCTGCGGGCGCTGGTCATCGAGATGGTCCTGGCCACCGACATGTCCTGCCACTTCCAGCAGGTCAAGTCCATGAAGACGGCGCTGCAGCAGCTGGAGAGGTGAGTGGGGGCGGTGGCCGGCGCCAGGTGCGTCCCCAGGGGTGGCGGGGTGGCTCTGGGGACAATGCGGGCTCTTGTCCCCAGGCTGGACAAGGCCAAGGTGCTGTCGCTGCTGCTGCACGCGGCCGACATCAGCCACCCCACCAAGCAGTGGGCGGTGCACAGCCGCTGGACCAAGGCGCTCATGGAGGAGTTCTTCCGGCAGGTAGGGCCGGGGCCGGGCGGGGGGACGCGGGGGACACCCCGTGGGGACACCACGGACGTCCCTTGCCTTGCCAGGGGGACAAGGAGGCCGAGCTGGGGCTGCCCTTCTCGCCCCTCTGCGACCGCACCTCCACGCTGGTGGCCCAGTCGCAGATCGGTGAGTGCGGGCGAGGTCCCGTCCCCGTCCTGTCCCCTCGCTGTCCCCACTCTGTCCCCGGTGTGTCCCCGGCAGCGCCGTGTCCCCTCCTGTCCCCAGGGTTCATCGACTTCATCGTGGAGCCGACGTTCTCGGTGCTCACCGACGTGGCCGAGAAGCTGGTGACGCCGCTGCCCGAGGACGGCTCCAAGGCCAAGGGCAACCCCGCGGCCCCCCAGCAGCCCAGGTTGGGGTCCCTGTCCCCGAGGTTCGTGCCCTGCGGTGGCAGCGGTGGCCCTGGCCCGCTGCCAGCTGTCCCCGTTGCCCCCCAGCTCGCAGTGGCGGCAGCCGTCCCTGGATGAGCACCTGGAGGACATCAAGGCCGACCTGGCCGGGTTCCGCTCCACCTGGACCAAGCACATCCAGGAGAACAAGCAGAAGTGGAAGGAGAGGGCGGCCAGCGGTAGGGGACGGCCACCACGGCCACCATGGTCACTACAGCCACCATGGCCATTATGGGTCACCACGACCACCACGGCCACCATGGCCACCATCGTCACTACAGCCATCACAGCCACCATGGTCACCATGGCCACCACGGCCACCATGGCCACCATCGTCACTACAGCCATCACAGCCACCATGGTCACCATGGCCACTATGGTCACCGTGGCCAGTACGGCCATCACAAACACCAATGGCCACCATGGCCACCACAGCCATTATGGGTCACCACAGCCAGTACAGCCACCATGGCCACCACGGCCACCACGATCACTACAGCCACTATGGCCACCAATGGCCACTGAGGCCACTATGGCCACCAATGGCCACTGAGGCCACCATGGCCACCACGGCCACCACGGTCACTACAGCCACCATGACCACCAATGGCCACCATGGCCACTGGGGAGGGGCTGGGGACCCCCACAAACTGCTCAGGGCCAGCTCTGTCCCAGTGTCCCCAGACTGGGAGGTGACACAAGCGCGGTGCAGGTGGCACAACCTGGGCTGTCCGGGGCAGTGGCCCTGGGGGCACACGAGTTCTGGGGTGTCCCTGGTGACCCCGGGGTCGTGTCCCCGGTGACCCTGCCCGTGTCCCCCAGGCATCACCAACCAGGCGTCCATCGATGAGCTGTCCCCGTGCGAGGAGCCCGCGGCCACCACCGGGACCCACAGCGAGAACGGGGACGTGGATTAGCGGGGGGAGGAGCCAGGTGGGGACACCGGGAAAGGGGGCGGGGACACCGGATAAGGGGCGAGGACACCGGGAAAGGAGGTGGGATACCGAAAAGGGGCGGGGACACCGGGAAAGGGGTGGGGACACCGGGAGAGGGAGGAGTCGATGGGAAAGGGGCGGGGACACTGGGAAAGGGATGGGGACACCGGAAAAAGGGGCGGGGATAATGGAAAGGGGCGGGGACACCGGGAAAGAGGCGGGTACACCAGGAAAAGTGAGGTTGGGACCCCAGGAGTGGGCTGGGGACACCGCGGTGACTGTCCCCTCCCAGCAGGTCCCTGTCCAGCCGAGTGACACCGTCTCAGTGACACCGTCTTGTCTTCGATGCCATCGAGTTCAGAACCATCTGTGCCAGGAGCCCCCGGGGCCGGGCTCGGATCGGTGTCACCCCTGTGCCAGGCCCGGTGTCACCTCTGTGCCAGGCCTGGTGTCACCACCATGCCAGGACCCGTGTCACCCCTGTGCCAGGAGCCCCCGGGGCCGGGCTCGGATCGGTGTCACCCCTGTGCCAGGCCTGGTGTCACCGCCATGCCAGGACTGGTGTGACCGCCATGCCAGGCTTGGTGTCACCCCTGTGCCAGGCTTGGTGTCACCACTGTGCCATGATTGGTGTCACCCCTGTGCCAGGCCCAGTGTCACCGCCATGCCAGGACTGGTGTGACCGCTGTGCCAGGCCCGGTGTCACCACCGTGCCAGGAGCCCCCCGGGCTGTCCCCTCTGTCCCGGTGTCACCGGTCCCTCACTGCCACCCCCGGCCCCCCACACCGGGCTCGGTCCTTTGGGATTTTTAAAAACGCTTTTCCTGCTCGGGAGGGGCTGGGGCGGGGACGGTGGCACTGGGGACAGCTGGGGGGGACACGCTGGGGACATCTGTGGGGACATGTTGGGGACAGCCAGGGGGACTGATCCTCTCGGGGTCTGGCTGGTGACACTGTGAGGGTGGCACTGTGCCCTGTCCCCATCCAGCCCGGGGACAGGACAGGGACAGGGACAAGAGAGGGGAAAGGAATGGGGACGAGGACAGGGACGGGGACAGGGATGGGGACAGGGACAGGGACAGGGACAGGGACAGGGAGGCCCCATCCCGTGCGGCATGGGTGGCACTGGGGACAGGGAGCAGCGGGACAGGGACAGGTCCCACTCCGGTGTCCCCCGGCTCCAGTCCCTGGAATGTCCCCGCTCCCTGTGACATGCTGGGAATGTTCCGGAATGTTCCGGAATGCTCCCACATCCCGGTCCAGCCGCCTCCTCCAACTCCAGCGAGCCCCGGGAACCCCGGAATGTTTGGGGAACCCCGGATTGTTTGGGGCACTCTTGGGAACCCCGGAATGTTTGGGGGATCCTGAAATCTTTGGGGAATCCCAGAATGTTTGGGGAATCCATGGATCCAACCGCGGATCCGAGAAGATTCCAGAATCCTGGATCTAGGCTTGGGAATGTCCCAGGATCCCAAATCCAGGCTTGGGAATGTTCCAGGATCCCAAACTGAGCTTCAGGAATGTTCCAGAATCCTGGATCCGGCCCCGGGAATGTTCCAGGATCCCAGATTCGGGAATGTTCCAGAATGCCGGATCTGGGAATGTTCCAGAATCCCGGATCCACCCTGAGGAATGTTCCAGAATGCCGGATCTGGGAATGTTCCAGAATCCTGGATCCACCCTCAGGAATATTCCAGAATCTTGGATCCACCCTCAGGAATATTCCAGAATCCTGGATCTGGGAATGTTCCAGAATCCTGGATCCACCCTCAGGAATGTTCCAGAATCCCGGATCTGGGACTGTTCCAGGATCCCGGATCCACCCTCAGAATGTTCCAGAATCCCGGATCCACCATCGGGAACATTCCAGAATCCAGCCCAGGAATGTTCCAGAATCCCAGATCTGGGAATGTTCCAGAGTCCTGGATCCACCCTCGGGAACGTTCCAGAACCCCGGACCCGCTGCCCACCCCCCCGACCCCTCCCGGATTCCCGGGATGCCCCGCCCCCCCCCAGGAATGTTCGGGAATGTCCCGGGAATGCTCAGGAATGTTCGGGAAGGCCCGGACCCCCCCCCCCAGCCCCCGGCCCCTCCCACTCCGGCCCCGGCCCCGCCCCCGTGTTTGTATTTTTGTACCCCGTGTCCCCCCCCCCGTGTCCCCTCCGTGTCCCCCCCCGTGTCCCCTCCCCGTGTCCCCTCCGTGTCCCCCCTTCGGTCACCGCTGGCAGAGCTCCGCCCCCCCCTCCGCATGTGTCCCCCCCGCGCCGCCGCCGCTAACGAGCAATTAATTATTAATTAATGAGTTAATTAATAAACGCCGCCGTCGCCACCACCACGGCCGCACTCCGGCCATTGGGGGGGGGGGGTGGAAACTGGGGGGGCGGAATTTGGGGAGGGGGGCGGAATTTGGGCGTGGGGGTGGCCCCAAGGGGGGGTCCTGGAGACACCCCAGGTATCCAAAAAGGGAGTCCTGGAACCCAGCCCAGTACACAAAAGGGGGGCCCGACCCCACCCCAGCACCCAAACTGGGTCTGGGGTCCCCCCAGTATCCCAAAGGGGGTCCTGACCCCCACCCCAGCACCCCAAAAAGGGTCTGGGGTCCCCCCAACACCTATGGGGGGGTTCTGGAGCCCCCTCAACCCCCAAAAGTGGGTCTTGACCCCCACCCAAGCACCCAAAATAGGGGTCCCGACTCCCCCCCCAGCACTCAAAGCGGTTTTTGGACCCCCCCAGCCCCAAAATTGGTTCGGACCACCCCTACCCAAAAAGAGGGTCCCTCCCACCCCCCCGGCGCGGCCCAAGCAGGAGGCGGGGGGGGAAAGGATCCCTTTAATTCCGGCTGGGGGGGGGGGGTCCCTGCACCCCCCCTGTGTCCCTGTTCCCCCTCCCACCCGTGTCCGTGTGCACGCGACTGTCCCTGTCCCCTCCCCTGTCCCCTCCCGTGTCCCCTCCCCGTGTCCAGGTGTCCCCCCCCAGGTGTGCACAGGTGCGGGGGGGGCCCGAGGGTGGCAGTGATTGTGGGGGGGGGTCTGCTCAGTGTCCCCAATGTCACCTGCCCTGGGGACCCCCGGGGGTGGCAGTGATGGGGGGGGGCACGCAGGGTGTCACTCAGAGTCCCCGGTGTCACCCAAGGGTGGCAGTGCGGGGTGGGGGGGGGAGGGTGTGTGGCACGTGTCACCTGCCCCGAGGTCCCCAGGGGGAGGGGACCTGCCAGTGGGAATTAAATAAAATAAAATAAAATTAAATAAAATAAATAAAAAAAATCCCAAAAGAATTCTGGGCGGCCCCAAAATCTTAGAAAACGGAATAAAAAAAATCTGCGCTGGCGTCCGGCGGCCACACCTGGGGACAAGGGACAGGGACAGAGCTGGGGACAGGGGAGGGGACACCCCTGACACTGTCCCAGTGCCACCCCAGTGCCATCCCAGTGACATGCCAGTGTCCCAGTGCCCCCCAGGTGTCCCAGTGCCACCCCAGTGTCCCAGCCTCGTGTCCCACTGCCCCAGTCCGGTGTCCCAGTGCCACCCTCGTGTCCCAGTACCATGTCCCTGTGCCCTCCAATGTCCCAGCCCAGTGTCCCCAGTGTCCCCAATGCCCCCAATGTCCCTCAGTACCCCTCAGCACCCCCAGCACCCCCAATGTCCCCAATGTCCCCAATGCCCCCAATGTCCCCAATGTCCCTCAGTACCCCTCAGCACCCCCAGCACCCCCAATGTCCCCAATGTCCCCAATGCCCCCAATGTCCGCAGTGTCCCCAATGCCCCCCAATGTCCCCAATGTCCCCAATGCCCCAGCACCCCCAATGCCCCCAGTCCCCCTAATGCCCCCAAAGCCTCCAGTGCCCCCAATGCCCCCAGTGTCCCCATTGTCCCCAATGTGCCCCCAGTGTCCTCAGCACCCCCAGTGTCCCCAATGTCCCCAATGCCCCCAATGCCCCCAATGCCCGCAGTGTCCCCAATGCCCCCTAATGTCCCCAATGTCCCCAATGTCCCCAGTGCCCCCAGCCCCCCCAATGTTCCCAGTGCCCCCAATGCCCCCAGTGTCCCCATTGTCCCCAATGTGTCCCCAGTGTCCCCAGCACCCCCAGTGTCCCCAGTGTGCCCTCAGTGTCCCCAGGCCGTACCTAGTGGCCGCTGCCCGCGCTGTCCCCAGGCTCTATATGGGTCCCGTCCTCAGCCCGGCTGCGCCGCACGGCCCCGGGGGTCCCGGCCCGAGGGGTCCCCGCTTGGGGGGTCCCGGCTTGGGGGGTCCCGGCCCGGGGTGTCCCCGCTTGGGGGGTCCCATCTCCGGGGGTCCCTGCGGGTGTCACAGCACAGGGGTGACCTCAGAGCCACTCAGTGCCCCCCAGTGTCCCCCCAGTGTCCCCCCGGTGCCCCCCACTCACGGTGGCCGGGCGGGGCCGGGCCGGGGCTGTGCCGGTGCTCGGGCTCGGTGTCCCCGCCGCGGTGACAGCGGGCGGTGGCCGCCACCTCGTCGTCGTCGTCGCCGCCCTGCGCCTGCTTGCACAGGTGATGCTCCACCATCATCTGCAGCTCTGCCGGGCAGGGAGCGGCGCTGGGGGGGCGCGGGGGGGGCCCTGGTGACCGTCCCCACCCTCCCGGCGACACCGCCCGCATGGCCTCGTGGTGGCCTCGTGGTGGGCTCGTGGTGGCAGGGACTGAGGCCAGCATGGGGTGGGGACACCCAGCCACCCATAAACCACGGTGCTGGGGGGCTGTCACCCCTCTGTGCCCCCCCCCGTGTCCCCTCAAGGCCCTCTCGTGTCCCTCCGTGTCACCCCCGTGTCACCCCATGTCCACTCGTGTCCCCCCCGTGCCCGCCTCGAATCCCCACCCGTGTCCCCCCGTGTCCCCTCAAGTCCCTCTCCTGTCATCCCCGTGTCACCCCGTGTCCCCTCATGTCCACTCGTGTCCCCCTGTGTCCCCTCGTGTCTCCTTATGTCCTCCCGTGTCCCCTCATGTGCCCCCCCCGTGTCCCCTCATGTCCCCCTGTGTCCCCCCGTGTCCCTGTGACCCCCCCCGTGTCCCCCCGCCTGTCCCCCTGTATCCCCCTCATGTGCCCCCATGTCCCTCTCGTGTCCCCTCATGTCCCACTCATGTCCCCCCCGTGTCTCTGTGACCCCCCCATGTCCCCCCCATGTCCCCCCCAGTGTCCCCCTGTACCTTTCATGGTGGGGGTGCTGCGAGACACTTTCTTCCTCTGCCGGGGGGACATGGCCAGGCCGGACTGGGGTGGGGGGAACACGGGGGCGGCTCAGGGGGGCTCTCCCCACTTTGGGGGGGTCCCCTGGGGGTCCCCACAGCCCCCCCGGGCAGCGCCACCTACCTTCAGCAGGGGGTTGGGCAGCCGGTCCTCGTCGATCTCTGGGGGGGGCAGGAGGTCAGTGAGGGGTGGGGGGCCCATCCTGCACCCCCTGAGGTCAATGAGGGTGGGGGGCCCATCCCAAACCCCCCGAGGTCAATGAGGGGTGGGGGGCCCATCCTGCACCCCCTGAGGTCAATGAGGGTGGGGGGGCCCATCCTGAACCCCCCGAGGTCAATGAGGGGTGGGGGGCCCATCCTGCACCCCCTGAGGTCAATGAGGGGTGGGGGGGCCCATCCTGCACCCCCCGAGGTCAATGAGGGTGGGGGGGCCCATCCTGAACCCCCCGAGGTCAATGAGGGTGGGGGGGCCCATCCTGCACCCCCCGAGGTCAATGAGGGTGGGGGGGCCCATCCTGAACCCCCCGAGGTCAATGAGGGTGGGGGGGCCCATCTCGAACCCCCCGAGGTCACTGGGGGTGGGGGGGCCCATCCTGCGCCCCCCAATGTCCATCCAACCCCTCTAGGGGTCTCTGTCCCCTGGGGGTGTCATGGGGACAGTGCCATCACCCCACTGTGGCGGGGATTGGGGTCCCACCCCCCCGTTTGTGGGGGTCCTGACACTGAGGGTGGTCCTGGAATGTGGGGAGGGGGCTGAGCATCATGTGGGGGTCACTGAGCATTTTTGGGGGGTCCCGAGAAGGTGAAGGGGTCCCTGAGTCATTTAGGGGGTCCCTGACCACATTGAGGGGTGTCCTGAGCATGTTTGGGGTCTCTGAGCATCTTGTGGGGTCCCTGAGCATATTTGGGGTCCCTGAGTGCCATTAGGGGGTCCCTGAGCAGTTTGGGGGGGTCTCTGAGCACTCTGGGGAGGTCCCTGGGTGGGCTGGGACCCGGGGGGGCGTGAGGACACCGCTGGGACCCACCTGGGGACGATTGGTCACTGCTCAGGACAAGGTTGGCCGGGGTCGGGCGGCGCCTCCGGATCTGGGGGGACACAAGAGAAAAGTGGGACCCTCAGATCGGAACGGGGACCCCCAGACACAAACTGGGACCCCCACACAGGGAACTGGGACCCCCAGACAGGGAATTGGGACCCCCAGAGATGGAACTGGGACCCCCAGGCATGCCCCACTGGCCCTGTGCCCACCGTGTCACCATCCCCAGGGCAGTGGTGGCCCTGTGCCCGCCCTGTCACCATCCCCAGGGCAGTGGTGGCCCTGTGCCCGTGGTGGCCCTGTGCCCGCCGTGTCACCGTGCCCAGGGCGGTGGCGGCCCCGTGGGGACAGGAGCTGGACGGACACACGGACACACACGCGGCTTTTCCATCACGGAGCTAATAATACCCGGCGGCGGGAAACGCGTGGGGACAGACGTGGGGACAGACACGGGGACAGACACGGGGACAGACACGGGGACACCGGGCGGGCCCTGCCCTTCCTGTGCGGCCCTGCCCTTGCCCAAGGTCACCCGCAGCCGCTCCGGCCGCACGGCCGCTGCCCTTTGGTGGCCGCGGTGGGGACAGCGGGGCCGTGGGGACAATGGGGACGGCGGTGGTGGCGGTGGGGACAGCGGTGGTGGCAGTGGGGACAGGTTGACCCCGCGCCCCCTTTCCCCGCTGACCCAGTAACTGAGCGCCTCCCACACGCGGCTTTCCCAGCGAGGATTCCCTAATGAGGCGGGCTGCCTAATGAGATGCTGATGAGATGCTAATGAGGCGGGCGAGCGGCCGGGAGCCCCCCCCGCCCCTCCCGGCCCCTGCCCCCCCCCCCCCGGCCCCAGCGCATCCTCCCGTGCCGGCCCCGTTGCCATGGAAACGCGGCTGGATGTGAACCGGGATTAGCGGGAACCGGGAATCGCCGCCGACCCCCCCGAGCCCCCCAGTTCGGGATCGGGATCCTCTCGGCCCCCCGCGATGGGGATGGGCGGGTTTGGGGTCCCCCCCATCCCCCGCAGCTCCGGGAGGGACCCCGAGAATCCGCGAACCCCCCCCCTCCCGGGACACCGCAGCCCCTCCGGAACCTCCCGAGGGTGCGGGGCGAGGCCGAGCCCCCCCCGTGCGACCCCCGGGGCGGGGATGGGGAGGGGACAGCGGTGGCACCTGCTCAAGGTGACCCGGGTGGGGCCGGGACCCCCGGCTGAGCCCCCCGCCCTCATTCCGGGGGGATCCCGGGGCGGGGATGCGCTGGTCCTACCCCCCCACCTCCGCTTCCTCCTCCTCCTCCTCCTCCTCCTCCATCCCCCATCCCTCCTCCATCCCTCCATCCCCGCTCCCTCCCGCCGCTATTTTTAGATCAATCTCCAGCATCGATTAAGGAGCGCGGCGGATCCGGGGGCGGCCGGGACGGGGCCGACACCGGGAGAGGGCACCGGGAACCGGGAGCGGGCACCGGGAGCGGGCACAGGGTGGCACCGGGAGGGGCCCGGCCCGGATCGGCTCGGCCGGGCAAAAACCACCCGGGATGGTCCCCGAGGCCTCGGGGGGACTTGGGGACACGGGCAGAGGGGCAGGACAAAGGCCTGGGCTGGGCCTGGCAGCCAGGGGGGCAAATAAGGGGGAAAATAGGGGCAAACAGGGGGGAAAATGGGAGGCAAATAAGGGGGAAAATAGGGGGCAAACAGGGGGGAAAATGGGGGGCACCCAGGGGGCAAATGGGGGGGAAACAGGGGGCAAATAGGGGGCAAACTGGGGGCAAACAGGGGGCAAACGGGGGGGGAACTGGGGGCAAATAGGGGGCAAACTGGGGGGAAATAGGGGGCAAATAAGGGGGCAAACTGGGGGGAAAACGGGGGGGAAACAGGGGGGAAAACAAGAGGGGAACAGGGGGGAAACAGGGTGGGCTCAGCTGGGATGGGGGTCAGGGGCTGCCGGACTTGGGGGGGGACACGGGGGGCACAAGGTCCTTGGGGAGGGTGGGGCTGGACGGAATTGGGGACAACCCCACAGGACACGGGGACACCGCGGTGCCACACGGAGAGGGGGGCACAGCCGAGAGCCCCCTCAATGCGAGGGGCACCCCAGAAAGAGGAGCAGGGAGGGGACATCGTTGGTGTCACCTGCTGCCACCGCACGGGGCCGGGGTCACCCCCACCCACCCCTGAGAGGCGCCGGGTGAGACCCCCGGGAGGGGAAACTGAGGCAGGGCAGGGCAGGGGGTGCCCGGGGCTGGGCAGTGCCCGAGGGGATGGGGACGGGGCTGGAGGTGCCCCTTGATGGGTGCTGGGGGACTCGTGCCCCCTCCCCGCTCTCCCTTTCCCCCCTGGGGACCCCCAAACTCTCCCCCTCCGTTCTGGGGACCCCCAACTCTGCTCCTCCATCCTGGGGACCCCCCAACTCTCCCCGTCCATCCTGGGGACCCCTAAACTCTCCCCGTCCATCCTGGGGACCCCCAACTCTCTCCGTCCATCCTGGGGACCCCCAACTCTCCCCGTCCATCCTGGGGACCCCACGCTGCTGTCCCCGAGCCGGGTGGTGCCCCCACATGGGCACGTTCGGTGACATCGCCCTCTCTCCGCTGGCACCGGGGGGCTCCTGGCCCCCCACCCCCAGGACCCCCGGCTGGGGGGCACGGCAGGGACCCCCCCTCTTCTCCTCGCCCCCTTCAAGCCCCCGTGGGCGATGTGGGGCCGAGGGGTCCCCTCTGACCCCCGGGGAGGGGCTGGGGGTGCCCGGCCGTGTCCCCGCGGGGTCACCCCGAGCGCGGGGCCGTGCTGGGACCGGCCCTGACCGGAGCAGGGCCTGGGGATCCCGGAGGGTCCCAGGGGGTCCCGGGGGTCCCGGGGGTCCCGGTGGCGTCGCGCAGAGCTGGCACATGGCCCTGGCACCGTCCCCCCCCGCCCCACGGCCCCGCGGGGCTCCGGGGACAGCTGCGGGTGGCCCCGGCACCAGGGGCCGCTCCCTCGTGTCGCCGCTGTCCCCGCGTCACCCCCGGGCCGGCGGTGCCCCCCGGAGCCCCCCGGAGCCCCCCGGAGCCCCCCGGAGCCCCCCCGGCTCGCTGCTCTGCGCGGCCCCGCTGCCCCCCCGGTGTCCCCCCGGTGTCCCCTCGGTGTCCCCCCGGTGTCCCCGCGGTGTCCCCGCGGTGTCCCCGCACCTGCTCGGCCGCCTCCGGGTCCAGGTGCGGCTCCAGCAGCGGGACCGTGAACTGGATCTTGCGGGGGCTGTTGGGCTCCATCGCGGGCGCGGCGGCTCCGGCGGCTCCGGCGGCTCCGAGCGGCCCCGCCCCGGCCCCGCCCCGGCCACGCCCCGGCCACGCCCCGAGGAGGCCACGCCTCGCCCCGGGCCCCGCGCGCGGGACACGGGGATGGACAACGGGACACGGGGACGGGGCTTGGGACACCGGGACGGACACGGGGACGGACACAGGGACACGGGGACAGACACGGGGACAGACACAGGGACATGAGGAGAGACAGAGGGACATGAGGAGGGACAGACGGACATAGACGGGAGAGTGGGACAGACACAGGGACACGGGGACAGGCACAGGGACAAACAGACAGACATGGGGACAGACACAGGGACATGGGGACAGAACAGGGACATGGGGACAGAACAGGGACACAGGGACAGACTCGGGGACACGGTGGCAGACACACAGATGGACCCTGGGACACAGGGACAGACAAACAAACACAAGGACAGACTCGGGGACACTGGGACAGACATGGGGGCATGAGGACGAACAGACAGGCCTTGGGACATGCGACAGGGACAGGGGGACGAGGACAGGGGGACGAGGACAGGGACAGGGACAGGGGCAGGGACAGCGATGGGACAGGGGGACAGGGACAGGGACAAGGACAGGATCCCTCCCCCAGCACCAGGACACGGGGACAAGGCCAGCGCTTGGGGACTGTCCCCGCAGAGCCTGGACACCCCAAAACCCCCAAAAAGGCCAATTTAGGACGGGAGGGGCAGGATCACAGGGTGGGCTGGGGGTGTCCCCAAGCCCCTGTCCTGGGGGTGCTGTGTCCCCACAGCCCATTGTCCCCCCCCAAGTGACACCCGAGGGCTTTGGGGGGGTTCGGGGCATGGAGCTGGGGGGTTGTGGGGTCAGGGGGTGTTATGGGGCTGGGGGAGTTCCAGTCGGGGAGGATTGTGGGGCCGGGAGGTTGCGAGTTCGGGGCCGGGGGGGTTCGGGGCATGGGGCTGGAGGTTTTGAGGCCGGGGGGGTTGTGAGTTCGGGGTTGGGGGTGTTGGGGCAGGGGGTTTCAGGGCCGGGGAGGTTCGGGGTTCGGTTCCGGGGAGTTTCAGGGCCGGGGAGGTTCGGGGTTCCGTTCCGGGGGGTTTCGGGACCGGGGAGGTTCGGGGTTCCGTTCCGGGGGGTTTCGGGACCGGGGAGGTTCGGGGTTCGGGTCCGGGGGGTTTCGGGCCCGGGGAGGTTCGGGGTTCGGGTCCGGGGGGTTTCGGGACCGGGGAGGTTCGGGGTTCCGTTCCGGGGGGTTTCGGGACCGGGGAGGTTCGGGGTTCGGGTCCGGGGGTGTTTCGGGCCCGGCGCCCCCCCGGCGCAGCCCTGGGCGCGTGTCCCATCACTTATTCATGGAGCCGGAGCCCGGGCGGCTGCCGGGATCCGCCGGCAGGAATCCGCTAAGTAGGTCAGGCGGGGGGGGGGGGGCCGGGGGGGCCGCCCGAGCCCTGCCGTGCCCCCCCCGCCAGCCCCGGGGGTCCCGGGGAGGCACCGGGGCAGCGATGGCATCCCCCGGTGCCGGGGGTCCGATAAAGGTGATGCTGGTTTGGGGACGGGGGAGGCAAATGAACCCCCCCTCAAAGTCCAACGTGACGCCCCCAGCCCCATCCGGGGCTCGCAGGGAATTTTGGGTGGGAGAGACCCCCACGACCCCCCCGCAGCCCCCCCGAGGGAACGGAAATGGGGTGAGGGGGCACGGGGGGGGTTGTGCTGAACCGGGACCCCCCCGCGGCTGCCAATGGCCACGCCCTGGTGGCACCGCGGGTCCCTCGGCCGTGCTTGGGTGACAGCCTTGGGGACACCTCCGGGACAGCCTTGGGACACCCTTAGGGACACCCTTGGGGCCATCTTTGGGGACGCTTTTGGGGTCCTTGGGGACATCATTGGGACATTCCTGGGGGCATCTTTGGGACCCCCTTGGGACATTCATGGGGACATCCTTGGGGCCAGCCGTGTGCGGGATGTGACAGCGGGGACAGGACGGGGCCGTTCTCCTGCTCCCAGCCCGGAGCGGGGCCAGGGAGGGGCGAGGCCGGAGGGATCTGTCCAGGGTGGGACATGTCCGTCATTCCTGGGGACGTGTCCGTCCCTCCTGGGGACATGTCCATCCTTCCCAGGGTATCTGTCCATCCTTCCAGGGCTCTTCCCATCCTTCTCAGATATATTTCCATCCTTCCCAGAGGCATTGCCGTCCTTCCAGGCCTCTTTCCATCCTCCCAGAGCTCTTCCCATCCTTCCAGGACTGTTCCCATCCTTCCCAGAGGTATTCCCATCCTTCCAGGCTTCTTTTCATCCTCCCAGAGCTCTTCCCATTCTTCCCAGAGCTCTTTCCATCCTTCCCAGGAATATTCCTGTCCCCCCCGGTGTTATTCCCGTTCTCCCAGGGTTATTCCCGTTCTCCCAGGGATGTTCCCGTTCTCCCCAGGGATGTTCCCGTGTCTCCCCCGGTTCCTCCCCCCGTTCCCGGCCCGGGCTGAAGGATCGCTTAATTCGGGGCTTTATCCACTTTAAACACTCCCGGGCTAAAAATATCCCGAGGCGCGGGCGCGGCGCTGCCGGCCCGGAGCTGCTGGAGCTGCTTTGCCTTTTTTGACGGGATCGGGATCGGGATCGCGGCTGGGGCAGCGCTCGGGTCACCGTCACTGTCACCGCCACTGTCACGGGTGGCACCCGAGCCTCGGGGACGCGGCCCTGGGGACCCGCAGAGGTACTGGGGTGCGCGGGTGCTGGGGGTTCCAGAGCCTGGGGATTCCAGATCCTGGGGATTTCTGATCCTGGGGATTCCAAATCCTGGAAATTCCAGATCCTGGGGATTTCTGATCCTGGGAATTGCAGATTCTGGGGATTTCAGATTCTGGGCATTTCAGATTCTGGGGATTCTTGATCCTGGAGATTCCAGATCCTGGGGATTCCAGATCCTGGGGATTTCTGATCCTGGGGATTCCATAGCCTGGGGATTCCATAGCCTGGGGTTTCCAGATTCTGGGGATTTCAAATTCTGGAGATTCCTGGTCCTGGGGATTCCAGAGCCTGGGGATTCCAGAGTCTGGGGATTCCAGATCCTGGGATCCCAAACTCCTGGAGATCCCAACTCCTGCAGATTCCAGTTCCTGGGGTATCCAACTCTTGGGGTCCCCAAATCCTAGGAATTCCAGCTCCTGGGGGATCTAGCTCCAGGGAATTCCAGCTCCAGGGAATTCCAGCTCCAGGGAATTCCAGCTCCTTGGGCACCCGTTGGAATGGGTGAGGGGCCTCAGTGGCCGTGAGGTGAGTGCTGTCCCCACACTGGGGGTGTCCCTGTCGCCCTGTGCTGTCCCCACACTGGGGGTGTCCCTGTCACCCTGTGCTGTCCCCCTGGCACTGGAGGTGCCATCCCAGATTGGGAAACAACTACCAGGGAAAGCCCCTCCTGGTCACCCCCCAAACCCAGGGTGGCTTCACCATCACCCTCTTCCCTTGGGAAGGTTGGGGACCCTTTGGAAAAGTTTGGGACCTTTTGGGTAGTTTGGGGACACCTCAGGAAGGTTGGGGACCCTTTGGGAAGATCAGGGACACTTTGGGAAGATTGGGGACATCTTGGGACAATCAGGGACCCTTTGGGAAGGTTGGGGACCCTTTGGGAAGGTTAGGAAATCTTTGAAAAGGTTGGGAACCCTCAGGAAGCTTTGGGACACCTTGGTAGGGTTGGGGACCCTTTTTAAAAAGTTGAGGGCCCTTTGGGAAAACTTGTGACCCTTTGGGAAGGTTGGGGACACCTTGGGAAGATCAAGGACTCTTTGGGAAAGTTTGGGACCCTTTGGGAAGGTTGGGGACACTTTGGGACAATCAGAGACCCCTCGGGAGGGCCGGGGACCCCTCGGGCGGTGCCAGGGGGTGCCCGGGCTGCCCTCAGGAGCTCTTCCCGCGGCGCTGGCGGATGTGGGGCGACGTTTGAGATCTGGGCTGTTGATTTTTTTTTTTTTAATTTCCTCTTCCAAGCCGATGAGTTTCCTCCTGCTGCGCTGACGACGGATGGGGGCCGGGCGGGGCGCGGGGGGGGCAGGAGGAGGCGGCGGCTGCTGCCCACGGGGCCTGGAGGGGCACAGGGAGCTGCCCACGCACCCCCGGAAAGGGTCAGTGATGAGGGGGCTGGGATTTTGGGGGATTTGAAGTTTGGGATGGGCACAGGGAGGTGCCCACACACCCCCGGAAAGGGTCAGTGTGAGGGGTTTGGGATATTGGGGGATTGGGATTGGGGATTGGGGATTTGGGATGGGCACAGGGAGCTGCCCATGCACCCCTGGAAAGGGTCAGTGCTCGGGGGGCTGGGATTGGGGATTTGGGGATTGGGGATTTGGGATGGGCACAGGGAGGTGCCCACGCACCCTCGGAAAGGGTCAGTGATGAGGGGTTTGGGATATTGGGGGATTGGGATTGGGGATGGGCACAGGGAGGTGCCCACGCACCCCTGGAACCAGTCAGTGCTGAGGGGGCTGGGATTGGGGATTTGGGATTTGGGATTTGGGATGGGGGAGAGATGACCACGCACCCCTGGAAAGGGTCAGTGTGAGGGGGCTGGGATATTGGGGGATTTGGAATTTGGGATTGGGGGATTTGGGATATGGGATGGGGGGAGCTGCCCACGCACCCCCGGAAAGGGTCAGTGATGAGGGATTTGGAATATTGGGGGATTGGGGATTTGGCATGGGCACAGGGAGGTGCCCACACACCCCTGGAAAGGGTCAGTGCTGAGGGCCTGGGATTGGGGATTTGGGGATTTGGGGATTTGGGATTTTGGGATTTGGGGACATGGGAGAGCTGCCCACCCCTGGAACCAGTCAGTGCGGAGGGGTCTGGGATATTGGGGGATTTGGGATTGGGGGATCGGGGGTTTGGGATTTGGGATATGGGATGGGGGAGAGCTGCCCATCCACCCCTGGAGCCAGTTAGTGCTGAGGGGTTTGGGATATTGGGGGATTGGTGATTTGGGGATTTGGGATTTGGGGATTTGGGGTAGGGGGAGCTGCCCATCCCAAGCCCACCCTGAACTGCCCCAAGCCCACCCTGTCCCTGCCCGTGGAACCCCCGGTGTCTCCTCTCACGGCCCCGGTCCCTCACATCCCTCCCGCCCCCCAGGGACCCCCCCGGCCATGGAGGGACCCTCGGTGCTCGGGCCCTGCTCGTGGCAGAGGCGCCGCGCGTGGGCCCGGCACAGCCGGGGCTGCCGCAGCCCCGAAGGCGAGCGGGACCAGGAGGAAGAGGAGGAAGAAGAGGAAGAGGAGCAGGAGGCGGCCGCTGTCCCCTGGGAGCCACCAGAGCCGGACCGTGCTGTCCTGGAAGGTCAGGGCCACCCTGGGGTGGGGGGGACCCTGGGCTGGGTCCCCTCAGGGTCTTTGTGTCCCCTCCCTGTGTCCCCTCTCTGTGTCCCCTCCCTGTGTCCCCTCAGGGCCTTTGTGTCCTCCTGGGCTGGGTCCCCTCCCTGTGTCCCCTCCCTGTGTCCCCTCACAGCTCTGTGTCCCCCCAGGACGTCTCTGCTGCAGGGTCCGGACGTGGCTGCAGGACTGCGGGTGAGGGGGGACACCCAGGGGTCACAACCCCCTCCCTGGGTATTTGGGGAGGGGGCGAGGCTCTGGCTTGGAGCTGCACATGGCGGGGGTGGGACAGCGATGTGTGGCCACACCGCGATGTCCCCAGGGCTGTGGGGTGGTGGCACCGTCCCCCTGCACCGCCTTGGGGGTCTCACGGGGGTCTGGGGTCCCTGTGGTTGGGGATGTGCTGAGGAGACCCAAAAACGGGCACAGACCCCGTGTCCCCTCCAGTGTCCCCTCCGGTGTCCCCTTCCCACACAGGGCTCTGCAGGACCGGCACCTGAGCCCTGGTGACAGCGCGGCCTCCGGTGTCCCCTCCGGTGTCCCCAGCAGCTCCAGGTAGGGTCGGGGCTCTCGAGGGATCGGTGCCACCCCGGTGTCCCTGCTCGAGGGATCAGTGTCACCTCGGTGTCCCTGCTTGGGAGATTGGTGCCAGCCCGGTGTCCCTGCTCGAGGGATCGGTGTCACCCCGGTGTCACGCCACGGGGAATCGGTGTCCCTCCGGTGTCCCCTCGCGGTGCTGAGGCGGGGCTGTCCCCTCGGTGTCCCCCCGGTGTCCCTGCTCGAGGGATCGGTGTCACCCCGGTGTCCCTGCTCGAGGGATCGGTGTCCCCCCGGTGTCGCCACTCGAGGGATCGGTGTCACCCCGGTGTCACGCCACGGGGAATCGATGTCCCTCCGGTGTCCCCTCGCGGGGCTGAGGCGGGGCTGTGCCCTCGGTGTCACCCCGGTGTCCCTGCTCGAGGGATCGGTGTCACCCCGGTGTCCCCTGGCGGGGCTGAGGCGGCGCTGTCGCTGTCCCCTCTCCCGCAGCGTGGCCGCGGTGCTGGCCTGGTGGCAGTCGCAGTCGGACGCCGAGGAGATCCTGCTCGCCCTGGGCTTCGTGGGCAGCGAGCCGGGGGCGGCGTCGCGGGTCCCCCCCCGCTTCTTCTCGGGCCCGTCCCGCGCCAGCGGCATCGACCTCGGGCTCTTCCTGCGGGCCCAGGCGCGGCGCCTGCAGCTGGAGGATCCGTGCCTGCGGCTGGCCAGTGCGTGACACGCTGTCCCCAGTGTCCCCAGTGTCCCCAATGTCCCCCTGTCCCCCTGTCCTCCTGTCCCTGCTGTCCCCGCTGTCCCCACTGTCCCCCTGTTTCCCGTCCCTCCTGTCCCCATGTCCCCGCTGTCCCCAATGTCCCCACCAGCGGCCCTTGGAAGGGGATGGGAAACGCTCCCGTGCCTCAGTTTCCCCAGGCGGGAATTGGGGGATCACCCCCAGCCCCCCGAGCTGCGCACCAGCTGCTCCTATCAGCAGTGGGAAATGGCGGTCGTGCCTCAGTTTCCCCAGGCGGGAATTGGGGATCCCCCCAGAGCCCCCCGAGCTGTGCACTAACTGCTCCTATGGCTGCCGTGCCTCAGTTTCCCCAGGCGGGAATCGGGGATCACCCTGAGCCCCCCGAGCTGTGGGGTGGGACTCACTACCTGCTGCTATCAGCAGTGGGAAATGGCTGCCGTGCCTCAGTTTCCCCGGGTGGGAATTGGGGATCCCTCCGAGCCCCCCGAGCTGTGCACTAACTGCTCCCATCGGGGCGGGAAATGGCTGCCGTGCCTCAGTTTCCCCAGGCGGGAGCTGTCGGGACCCTCCCAGTCCCTCCCCCTTTGTCCCCCGATGTCGCCCCCTGACCCCCGATGTCGCCCCCTGAGCCCCGATGTCGCCCCCAGGTCGCTTCCAGCAGTTCCAGGCCCTGGCCGCCACCGCCGACGCGTTCTTCTGCCTCTACTCGCACGTGTCGCGGACCCCCCTGCAGCGCATCGCCCCCGCCCGGCCCTGTCGCGACATCCCCGACAGCGCCGGGCGGCGCCTGAAGCGCGCGGTGTCCTCGCTGTGCCTCTACACGGGGAGGGGACACGGCGGTGACACCCCCCGAGGGGCGACCCCCGGCCCGGGCGGGACCCCCGAGGGCAGCCGGGGACACGGCGACACTGACGCGGTGTCCCCGAGGCCACCCCGTGCGGGGACAGCTTGGGGACACCCCGAGCGCTGCTGTCCCCACGGCCGGGGGGTCTGGGGGCGCGGGGGGGACACAGGGGACCCTCGGGGCGATGTCACCGCGTCCTGCAGGGTGGCGGTCACTGCCCAGAGACCCCCGGGGCTGCGACCCCCGGGCCAGCCCGGCCTCGGCTCTCAGTGTCACCCTGGGGACACCGCGAGGGCCGGGGGACACCGCGATGGGAGGGTCCCCGAGCCCCCCGAGCCACGAGGAGCGGCCGAGTCCTTCGAGCTGGAGGAGGTGAGGAGGAGGAGGATGAGGATGAGGATGAGGATGAGGATGAGGATGAGGATGAGGAGGAGGAGGAGGAGGAGGATGAGGAGGAGGATGATGAGGAGGATGAGGATGAGGGTGAGGAGGATGAGGATGAGGATGAGGATGAGGATGGGGGTGAGGATGAGGATGAGGATGAGGAAGAGGAAGAGGACGAGGACGATGACGAGGAGGATGCGGATGAGGCGGATGAGGATGAGGACGAGGAGACGATGAGGATGGTGGGGAGGATGAGGATGAGGATTATGAGGATAAGGATGAGGATGAGGGTGAGGATGATGAGGAGGGGAGGAAGGCCCCCGCGGCCGGCGCGGGGAAGGAGCTGGAGCGGGAAATGTCCCCGGAGCCTCTCAGGCTTTTAAGGTTTAAATGATTCAGAGCCGGGGCGGGGCCGGGCCCGGCGGGGCCGGGGGGGGGCAGCGGGGTCACCTCCCCCCCCCCCGGGCACGGCACGCACGGGCCCGGCCGAGTCACGCGTGGGGACACGAGGAGGGGCCGCTGTCACCTTTGTCACGGCAGCGGTGACAGCTGAGCCCCGCAGCCACCCCCGCAGGTGCTGAGCGAGGAGGAGGAGGATGACGGTGACGACGAGGATGACGATGATGATGATGATGATGATGGTGATCCCGAGGAAGCCACCCGGTCCCCCCATCCCTTTATCAGGAGTGAGCTGGGGTCTCCCCCACCCTCCTGGGGGACACGGGCTGCCCGGTGCCAGCGTGTCCTCCCCGTGTCCCCATCGTGTCCCCGCCATGTCCCCACAGTGTCCCCACCATGTCCCCCTCTGTGTCTCCCCGATGTCCCCACCCTGTCACCTCCGTGTCCCCCCCGTTTCCCCAACTGTGTCCCCACCATGTCCCCACTGTGTCCCCCCCTTGTCCTCACCGTGTCCCTGCCCTGTCCCCACCATGTACCCACTTCGTCCCCCCCGTGTCCCCATCATGTCCCTGCCATGTCCCCCAGTGTCCCTGCCCTATCCCTGCCCTGTCCCCTCCATGTCCCCCTCCATGTCCCCACTGTGTCTTCTCTGTGTCCCCATTGTGTCCCCACCATGTCCCCTCCATGTCCCCCTCATGTCCCCCCTGTCCCCACAGGCTCGATGCTCCACGGGCGCTCGGACAGCAGCGGCTTCGGGGAGGAGCCGCTCCCGACTCTGTGACCCGAGGCCGCCTCAGGAGGACGTGTGGCCTCAGCCGGCGTCCCACGGACGTTTTGGACACGCGTGTGACACGTGTGCGTGTGCGGCGTGTGTGTGTGTGTGCACGTGTGGGCGTTTCGCACAGGAAAACCTCCGGATTCGGGATTTTGGCCCATTTTTTGTCCCTTCCTCATCCCCCAGCCCTGTGGCTCGGGGCCTGCAGTGGGGACGTGTCCCCAGCCCTTGGGGACGTGTCCCCAACCCTCAGGGACGTGTCCCCAACCCTCAGGGATATGTCCCCAACCCTCGGGGACGTGTCCCCAACCCTCGGGGATGTGTCCCCAACCCTCGAGGACATGTCCCCAACCCTTTGGGATGTGTCCCCAGACCTCAAGGATGCATCCCCAACCCCCGGGGACATGTCCCCAGCCCTTGGGGACATCAGTTGCACTTTGGTTGGTTGCACTAGATGGAGTGGGGACCCAATAAAGTCCCCCAAGGGATGGCGGTGGCTGTGTCCTTGCTGGGGGGGTGGGACCATCCCTGCCCGGGGACAGCTCCAGTGTCACCCCAGGAGCTACCAGGGTCCCTTTGTCCCCAGGCTGTCATGAAGGAGCCACCAGGGTCCCTTTGTCCCAGGCTGTCGGAAGGAGCCACCAGGGTCCCTTTGTCCCCAGGCTGTCGGAAGGAGCCACCAGGGTCCCTTTGTCCCAGGCTGTCGGAAGGAGCCACCAGGGTCCCTTTGTCCCACGCTGTCGGAAGGAGCCACCAGGGTCCCTTTGTCCCCAGGCTGTCGGAAGGAGCCACCACGGTTCCTTTGTCCCCAGGTCATCGCTGTCCCCGCCCTGGCCACCCCCGGGACCCTCGGGGCGCCAGGGCGGCCGCGGCTGCAGCTCCTGGGAAAGGGAAATCCCGGGAGCATCAACAGCCCCGGGGCTTCCCCATGGAGAGCGGCCAGGCCGGGATCAGCCGGGATTGTCCCCGAGGCCCCTCCGGCACCGGGGCCAATCCCAAATACCGGGGGGAGGTTCCGTCCCACGTGGGCTGCATCCCAAAACCGGGGGAGGATGGTCCTGTCCCACCTGGGCTGCCCCAGGATGGACCTGGCTGCTCTGAGATTCACCCGGGACACTGTGGGACCCCAAACTGGTGCCAGCCCCATCCCTGTTCCCATTCCCTGTCCTGGCTCTGCTCGGCTCCAGCTCGGATCAAAAATAAACCCGGGATTAGCTGGGAGAGCCTGGAGGGGCTGTGGGCACATCTGGGAGAGCCTCGGTGGGCAGAGCTGAGCTCAGGGACCATCCCTGGGGATGCCACCAACCCCTGGTGGGTGTCAGCAACCCTTGGCAGATGTCACCAACCCCTGGCAGATGTCACTCAGCCCTGGTAGACATCACCAACCCCTGGTGGATGTCACCAGCCCCTAGCAGATGTCACCAACCTCTAGCAGATGTCACCAACCCCTGAGGATGTCACCAACCCTTGGTGGATGTCACCAACCCCTGGCAGATGTCACCAACCCCTGAGGATGTCACCCATCCTTGGGGGATGTCACCAACCTCTGGGACACCCAGGGCCGGTCCCATCCCACCCAGAACCAGGCTGGGACAGAGATGGCGTTGGGGACAAGCTGGGACATCTTCCCACAGCTCTCCATGGAGGGATCAGCAGCTCCAGCACATTTCATGGACACCTCGGAGCCCGTGGTGCTTCCCAGGAGGGTTTTAGGGGGATTTTGGTGCCATTTAGGATTAATTAATCCGCTGGGATGGGGAAGTTCTGGGTGCTGGAGCAGCACAAAGAGGTTCCTCTGGCCATGAGGGCGTTAGGGGATTAATTAATTAATCCTCCCCGCTCCAGGATTCCAATTCCCTGCCAGGGGCTCTGGCTCTGCCTCCCGGATCTGGCTGCCCCAAATCCCTGCCCGGGGCACGGCTGGGCTCTCCTCACCCTCCTGTTCCCACCGGGAGTGAACGGGGCTCTCTGAGCCACCAGGAACAGGCAGGAAGGTGGCACAAATCCTCCCTCGGGCGCTGGCACGATGGAAAGCACCCAGGATCCATCCCCCGGCTCGGCAGCCAAGAGGAAGGATGCGGCCAAGCCGTGGGAGCCGCTTCCCACGGGAGCAGGAGCTGCTGGGGGGCAGGGAGGGAGCGGGGGGAGCCGCCAGCAGGGCCCCGTGTCCTACATTCGGGGCTGCCTTTGGTGCAGGGTGCTCTCTGTTCCCGCTGGCACCGCCACGGCCAGGCTCATCCAGCCCCGATTCCGTCCCCAATTCCACCGCCATGGGCACCACGTCCTGCCCCATCCCTGTCCACATCCAGCCCCAATTCCGTCCCCATGGGCACCACGTCCTGCCCCATCCCTGTCCACATCCAGCCCCAATTCCATCCCCAATTCCATCCCCATGGGCACCATGTCCTGCCCCAGCCCTGTCCACATCCATCCTGTTCCTATCCACATCCATCCACAATTCCATCCCCAATTCCAGCCCCAATTCCATCCTCAATTCCGTCCCCACGGGCACCACGTCCTGCCCCAGCCCTGTCCACATCCAGCCCCAGTTCCATCCCCATGGGCACCATGTCCTGCCCCATTCCCTGTCCACAGGCATCCTGTTCCTATCCACATCCATCCACAATTCCATCCCCAATTCAATCCCCAGTTCCATCCCCAATTCCGTCCCCATGGGCACCACATCCTGCCCCATCCCTATCCACAGCCATCCCCAATTCCATTCTCAATTCCATCCCCAATTCCATCTCCATCAACAGCCATCCCCTCTCCATCCCTGCTCCTGCCCACATCCATCCCCAATTCCATCCCCATCCGCATTCATCCCCAATTCCATCCCCAATTCCATCCCCATCCACATTCATCCCCACATCCATCCCCGATCCCATCCACATTCATCCCCAATTCCATCCTCAATTCCATCCCAAATTCCACCCCCAATTCCATCCCCATTCATGTCCAGCCCCTCTCCATCCCCAATTCCAACCCCAATCCCATTCCCAATCCCATCTCCATCCACATCCAGCCCCATCCTTCCCTCATCCATCCCCAATCCCATCCCCAGTTCCATCCCCATTCCCATCCCTGATCCCATCCCCATTCCCACCCCATTTCCCCCCTCATCCCCCATCCCATTCCTTACCCCATTCCCACCCCACACCCACCCTGCAGGACCCGGAGCCTCTCCCGGACACATCCCCGAATCCCCCATCCCTCAGAGCTGCCGCCAATCAATCAATCAATCATTCCCTAAACCCCGCCTAAGCCTTTTCCCGAGCCGGGCTCAGCCGAGCGCGTCCCGCTGAGAGCGGGGCCGGCCTCGCTCGGCTGCTCCCGGCCCGGAGCCCGGCACGGCCCCGGCCCCGCTCGGGAATTGTTCTCCAGCAGCGCCGGGGATGATTCATCCTCATTTCCCGCGGGGCAGGCTCGGCCCGCCGTGTCCTGGCACGGACCCAGACCGTGGTCACTCTGTTCTGGCCATGTCCAGCCCGTGGTCACTCTGTGTCCTGGCACGGACCCAGCCCATGGTCACTCTGTGTCCTGGCACGGACCCGGCCTGTGGTCACTCTGTTCTGGCCATGACCAGCCTGTGGTCACTCCCTGTCCTGCCCGTGTCCTGCCCATCCATGGTCATTCCATGTCCTTGCTGTGTCCAGCCTGTGCTCATTCTGTGTCCTGGCCGTGGTCATTCTGTGTCCTGGCTGTGGTCATTCCATGTCCTGGCCATGTCCAGCCCTTGTTCACTCTGTGTGCTGGCCGTGTCCAGAGTGTGGTCACTCTGTTCTGGCCGTGTCCAGCCTGTGTTCACTCCCTGTCCTGCCCGCGTCCTGCCCATGGTCATTCCATGTCCTTGCTATGTCCAGCCTGTGCTCATTCTTTGTCCTGGCCGTGGTCATTCCATGTCCTGCCCATGTCCAGCCCATGGTCACTCTGTGCCCTTGTTGTGTCCAGCCTGTGGTCACTCTGCCCTGGCCATATCCAGCCTGTGGTCATTCCATGTCCCGGCCATGTCCAGCCCATGGTGAGTCCCTGTCCTGGTTGTGTCCAGCCCATGGTCACTCCCTGTCCTGGCTGTATGTCCTCCATGTCCTTCCATCCCCTCTGTCCCTCCATCCCGTGTCCCTCCATGTCCCCAAATGTCCCCTCCTGTCCTTTTCCCATCAGGTGCCTGAAACCCAGTGCTGGAGAATGGAGGGGCTTGGGAGGGTGTGTGGGGTCACCAGGGGGGCCCTGGGGGACTCTGGGGTGCCCTGGGACCCTCTGGGACACCCTGGGGTGCCCTGGGGTGCACTGAGACCCTGTTCAATGAGATCCACGGAGCTCTGGGGGGGGTGAGGAACTGCCCCGGGCTGGGGCTGGGCTGGCCCGGGGG